AGCTAATGGTGAATCACACAAACATTTTTTGGCCCTTCTAGAAGACATTTCATGTTTTATTTGAAATTCGTAAAAGACATATTGACATTGGCATATTTTACCTTGTCACACCTTTGCAGAAATTCTTTCAGTAAAGAGGCCTGGCATAAAGCTGTAGATATTTCATTTTTAACATCTGACTGAAATGAACTAGAATTTACAGCCACTGGCGTATCTAACACTTTCAGAAGGACCAGAGAGATGTTTTTTTTTCCACAAAATTGGTTCCACCAAATGGAAATTGAAACATGTTTCGTTGATTCCACTGTCAGTTCCTAATTATATTAGCCGTCAATGTGACACATTAGGCCTTCAGTTTAGCTCCTGACGCCTAAACCAATGGGAAAGCTCACTGGGCTCTATCTACTTCGATACCACAGAGAAAAAAAATCCTGATTGGACAATTTTGTTGGATGTTTCAAGAATTTATTTTCAAAACTTAACAATGAAATAAGAGTATTACTTGCATAAATACAACAACCACGATGATTATATTAAATGCGAAATTCTATTTAAAATATATACTAATGTTTTTTTTTTTATATCATAAATGGCCCTCAGGACACTGTAGGGACACTGGTACATCTTATTTACTATATAAAGTAGGTATGTACTACAAATGTACTATACTATGAAGTATGAACATATTGACTACTTTACTGTAAGTATATACAGACTTTAAAAATAAGTTGAATACATATATATATATATATATATATATATATATATATATATATATATATATATATATATATATATATATATATATATATTCAACTTGTTAAACATATTTATATTTGTGCTGGAGTTTAGGATTTGCGTGGTATAATTGAAGATACATGCATGTGTAACAGCTACATAAAATGCTTTTGATTACTCCACATTTAATCTGGTTGAATGCTTGTTGCGGCCCAGTAAAAGAAGTTATTAGAGCAGATAATTCCAAATTAAACAAGATCAGAAAAATCCGGAATGTTAGTTCAGTGTTGCTGCATTTCAGGGCTGGCTTGTTATACATCAGTCTAAAATGGATTTGGTAAGTCTGCTGTGTACTACTTCAAATAAGAATAATCAGTATGAGGCAGCGGAGATGGGGGAAGGTATATTTCCCACAGTTAGTGTATGGTTTTAAAGTGACAAACTGCTATGATAGTATGTGTACAGTTATGGAATCATAACTAAAACATTCATTTTCATGATAAATGTAGTGGAATATGAGAATGGCTCTCTCTGACCTCTCTTTTCTGGTATACATTCTATTAGGGCTGTTGTGATTCTGCTTAAACTTGACAACTAGATTCAAATAAAAATCTAAAATGTACCTTTCTGAAGAATCAGCAGTGATCAGTTGGCAGACTGACTGATGATAAAGCATATTTTAATATCTTTTTCTCCTACAGTAAGAAACAGAGTCTGGTGAACACACCTATTTATATGAAAGACCATGGATGGCTTTTTATTTCTCAGTTTAGTGAAACTAATATTTTATTGTTTCACCTTAAACTCTGGCTTACTCAAACCACTGTCAAAAACGTTCTCTAGATTATTGATTACTAAAATAATCGCCAAAAATCCATTCAGGCGCAGTTCAGCTAGGAGCAGGACCGCTTCGGCCTGCATTATGGAAGCCTAAAATGCTGTCCAGAATTCCCCAGGGGGTGCACAATTCCATTCCAAGGCGTGTGACCAGAAGGTGTGCAGCGCTATAGTGTATATCCAACAGGTTGCGCCGCTCTAGTGTGAGTGTCCTGTAGGTATTGTTAGCCCACATTGGGCGCTCCAGACGGCCAGGCAAGGCAGGGCGCTAACACTAGTGCTGTGATGCTAATGCTCACTGACAGCCTCCGCTGTCAGGAGACCTCAGTGACAGATGGTTTCCCGTGCTGTGCCCAGGAACGATTGGAGCAACTTGGAGAGAAAGTTCCCACAGGAAATAGCCTGAGATCAGTTTTGCTTAACGTGAGTTAAGGACAAGTTAATAGGAACAACTTGCCTCAGAACAGTGCTGTGCCCCTGAACACTGAATCTTTGCTCTGGCTCTCTTGACAAGGTATTTAAACTACAAATTGAGCAAACTGCTCAGAATTTATGAATACACCTCCAGATCTTTTCACTCTCGCTCTCTTTTACCTTCTTCACCTCTCCTGCCCCCAAGCAAGAAGACGGGACCACATCGCCATGGAAATAGTGAAGGCTAAGTATTGGCAGGAACACAGAACACAGACACATCCACTGCATGTCTGTACTAACAGTCAGGGTGTAATATGATTACATGTCAGTTGAAAAAAGTACTTGAGTAGTGCATCGCTTGACAGCTCATGAGTCCTAACAATACAGTATAATAAAATACAGTAATTCTACAGTAATTTGTACAGTAAGCTGTATGCACAAGTTTGGGCACCCCTGGCTAAATTACATGTTTTGTTGATTTTCTAAGTGAAAATAACTCAACACATCCTCTACAGGGAACACACTTCCGCATACTTCAGTGTACAATTACTGTTTATTTGCTTAATTTAACATATTGGGAAAAAACAAAACATAAAATGTAGCCTGTCCAAAAGATACAGAACATTTTATACTTTGTTTTTTTCTCAGTAATAAAAAAATGCATACTAAAATTTACAGAAAAATGCCCTATATTCATTTATTTTCACTTAGAACTAGTTCATTCATTTTCACTCACTCTTAGGTCCTCTTACTTTTCTAAGAGTCTTACTCTTAACACTATTAAGTAGACTACTTGACTTTTAGCAGTGTTTGTGGAATTAAGGCTAATACAACAATGAGTTATATGGCATTTACTGAGTTAACTGAAAATGCTGTATATTCCTTGTGCATGTCCGAATGTTCATCAGATAGTTCAAACAGCATAGAACTTTTGGTGGAATAGTGGATAGACTTTATCTACCTTAAATATAGTTCAGGACTAAACATTCTCAGTAAAGCCAAAAAAGGTAGAAAGCAAGAAATCGTCCACAACACTAAAATTAGGGGTGTAACAATATCCAAATTTAAAGTTTGTTCCAATACGAAAAAACTAGTTCCTGAATATGTGCCTTGTGTTAATATGTTTCTGTCCATATGTTAATGTTTGCACCATGTACACAGCTTACATGCATGCACACTGGGGGTGCTATGAGGCACATGTTTTCAGGTCCAATGCAATTTTCAATTCTCAAAACTCAAAATTCAGTTTAATTTAAGATATATTGTGTGTCTTTACTCTATGGAGCTCTATTTATAAACTATACACACTAGACTGGTTTGACTTAGCAAAATAAAAGTCCTCAAATAGACCTTTTTCAATGCCTGCCATGACCCCCACCCACCCCCAACAAATTAAACCACCAAAAATCACAACCCCTACAATTTATACTTGGTTTATAAAAAGCCCAGTCATTCGATATACGTAACCACCCACTTTACTTTGATAGGATGCACCCAGATGCTTAGTTTTGATCACTAACAGTGGTTTCCACATAAGATGATAAATTAGCCTTGGTTGAGAATGAGGAGTGTATTAGTGATTCAGTATTAATTTAGGGCTGCCCTGCGATGGACTGACGACCTGTCCAGGGTGTATCCTGCCTGAAATATATATTTGAGTGTGTGTGTGTTTTAAATGATTATTTTTTTTTATACAGATCGGCTTCATTACACCCTTAACTGTAATGGTAAACTTTCAGCAAACTAGATGATGGACCAATACTTTACTATGGGTGTAGTTTCCGCTGGGGACATGTCCCTCCATTTTTCAATATCCTCTTTTTGTTCTCTTTCACTTTCAAAGCTCAGTAGAACTTCTGGGAGAAAAGGGTCAGTCTACTCTTGCTGCCCAAGCTGTCCTAATCCATCTGATAGACACAGCATAATAACATGGGCTGACTGATAAATATCCATCTGATGTTGAATACACCACTGACATATGGACTACACCCATTTTCATTGTTATGCTCTTAGTTCATCCTGCCCCCTCCACTTCTGAATCCAAAATAACACAACATTACAAGTGAGATCAACTCTGTTGCCTTTGTCAGACAAACTACAAAGTGACAGATATGAAACAGTATACTTGACCACAGACCGTCTGTACTCTTCTGGGAAGGTTTTAGAATCTGATAGGATTCAGCTATGAAAGCAGTAAAGTCAGGTACTGATGTTGGATGAATCGCAAACATCACTTCAACTCATCCCACAGGTACTGGATGGAGCTCCATCACTCCAGACAACACAGTTCCACTGCTCCACAGCCCAATGCTGGGGCTCTTTTTCTATAGAGAGATTATACATCTATATTCTACAGAGATATATATTATATGAGCACATGAGTGTCAGCAGCGAGTGCCTCTTAAATTAGCTGCATTCACTAATTAAAATTGGTGTCTGGACACTTTAGGACATACAATGTAACTACATAGGGAGTACACATTAAAATGCAGGTGCAGAGCCACTGGCCACAACCAAAACGTGCTATACTGTGCTAAAGTGAAGGGTCTAAGCCGAGCAGATTATAATTTTATGCGTAAACCACCAAGCAAAAAGCACATTAATTATAAGGCAGGTGCGACCATGTTACCCGCTGCGCAGCAACACTGAGGGCTCAACGATGATTGTCTGAGGGGTTAAGAGAAGAGAATAGCCGGTGTCATGTAGATTACTGGGATAAACCAGCTTCAAAGACCGCTGAGCTGTGAGCTGAATGTAAAACCACGCCGTCCAACAGTGTATATGTGCGTGTACAAAGGAGAGAGAGAGAGAGAGAGAGAGAGAGAGAGATCTGGCGCGCGCGAATGAACGACTCAACGTCCTTTAGTGTTGGAGGCGCGCGCTCATTAACCTACATTCAGCAACACAACCGACATTATCCCGCCAACAGCCACACCGACCCGTTACTGACCCGGTTACACACTAAACGCGTCTCTTCGTTACGAAGTTATAAAGTCAAACGCGTTTCTTACCGCCGGCGCTCAGAGCGGTCAGGTGAAGAAGTAGAAATCCGGACAGCAGCGCTGTTTCCCAGCCGAGCTTCATCTGTTGGAGCTTCATCCTCTCACAACACAGAGTCTGAAAAGCTGAAAAAGCTGAACCCACCGAAACCCCTCACTGAGGCGTCAGAGTCACAGGCTCGGCGCCCTAAATCTCCTCCGTGTGTGTTCACTCAGGCTCCCTCGCTTTTCTCCATCACAGCGCCGAGTGTGGTGGTCTTCTGTTTCGTCTCGGGCAGTTGTCACTCCTGAATAGAGACCCCCTCGAGTCCTTACGGCCCCATAATTCGGGTCCCCGCTCGTCCGTACAGCCTCAGAGCCGTGTGAGTGTCAGTGCGAAGCCGCTGTGAGGAGCTGTGCGTCTCGGCTGAGGTGCCTCTCTTCTGTTCGCTTTTGCGCGCGCAGCCTGCTGTGTAGGCTTACGTATCGTGAGCGCGCTCCAAACACGCGGGCCGGTTTTGTTGTTGTAGTGAAAAAAAAATCCTCTGAAAGAGCAGCGAGGGTGAGGACTCGTAACGAGGAGCCCCTTTCTCTTAACTTACCAGACAGATGTGTTTAGAGTCTGTATTAGCCCCTTAGACCCCAGAGGTGGAAAACAGAGAAGATTTATGGTTTATTCGTCTTTTAAATTGTATTTTATCCGCAGTAAAATCTCTTGTGTAGAATGAGTTCAATGTTCGTTTGGGATGCACGATGATATCGGAGTCATATCGGTATCGGCAGATAATTGTATAACCCTACTTAAATTGCATTTCTCTATAATTCTGATACAGGTAAAATTAAGCCTAATTTTTATATTTCATAAATATTTATGTATTAGCATTGGCACGTACTGTACCGTGCAAAAGTCTTCAGGCACTCCAGAAAAAAAAAAATCTGCTCAAAAAGCTGTTTAACTGGGCAGTAAGTGTTTATTTGCTCAGAAAAACACTAATATAAAATAAACACAGGTACATTAATACAGCAATTTGTAATTTTATGTATGTTAAATTGTACCTTTAAACATTTACAAACCTTTTACAAAACTGGGAGAAATGTTGTCTGTCAAAAAAATACAGTGGTGTCTGTTGTAGATTAGTGAAATAAAGGCATTGGATTTTAGATACTCCATAAAAATGTTATGGCCATTGTAAAAACTCCCTGTGTAATAAAGTTGGATGCAAAACTAGTGAGAAAAAAGTGAAGGTTGTGTGGCTGGACAATTACTTGCTCCAGAGTTTCATGTTAAACGGTATTTGTTATGATCTCGACACTCTAACAATGCACACGCCTTAATTACTGCAGGCCTGTCATTTGGATGATTGCTAAGCCATTAAATCTGATCTCATAACAAACTGATGAGATCATATTATGATGTAACAGAGTTCAGCTTATCAGAGTGAGTAGTTCAATGCCGGCTCACTGATCAGTTACTTATTATCAGCTCCACTGTGAGGAAGAGATAACTCAGTTTTATCATCACACAGACCTGGCATGATAAAACTCCTTTTTGAGGAAGTGTTGCTTGATCTTGACAAAGACTGAGTGCATAACTGTGACGGCACATTTTAAAGTTGATTATCGATTGAATGCTTTCAGTCACAATAAGCGCTGAAAAACATAAGTGAGAGTGAGTTTGTTGTGGAAGGAACGTGGGAGCAGTACTGTTAGGCCAGTGTATATTAAAGGCCCTGGATGGACAAAGGAAGCAAGAAAAGATATGTAAAATATGTCTGGGGGTCTGTATCACTGTTCATTCTCATTAAGGTACTCTTAGTGACCAATGAAAATGAACAACGGTTCAAGAAATTCATATATGCGTATAAATAAAGATAGTGAATGAGTGAGTGAGTGAACTAAACAGGATTAACAGAAAACAAAGTGATTAGCCTACATCAGAAACACTAATCTTATAAGACACATTCTTGAGCTTTCCTACTCAAAGCAGACATTTTAACCTATACATTGTTACAGGCTCCAATTCAATCAATTTGCACATTCAAACGAGAAGCAGAACCCCTCCGTCACATCCCTTACCACCCCATCACAATAAAATGTGGAGGGTTGGTAAATTTCAGCAGCAGTTCGCATTCATTTTCTTTGCATTAATGCAAAATTTTAATAAAAGCAGTTTTACCTCTCTATTTTGTGTGGCACGGGTTTGGGTTGAGCTTGACAGACCCCGCCTAACATGAAAAAGCAACAAATAAGGAATGTAAATTAATGTCAGAACTTGCGTGCTTTTGTTCCTGGCTGCTCCAAAGGCTCGAGTGATGTCACTTCCTCTTTGTGTTGTCATTTAAAGCATCAGAACATTAGAACATTTAGACAAAACAAGTCAGTCTGACAGAGTGGTAAGTCAAACTGAGGGATGCACACATTATACATTTTTTTTTCAAAAGCGAATACCAAGAAGCAGGACATCAAACGTGGTAACTCATTTTCTTTGACCGAGAAGATTCCCTTGCATCCACACTCAAACCAAGCCCTAAGAATGGACATTTAGAGGAGACCAGGGTCATGTAATCTGTTCTGTGATCTATTTTTTTTATTTTCTACATGGTACCAAGGCTTTAATCCTATCATCTATCCATTTTTTACCAATGAGAGGTCAGCTTATAGATGTAAACGTGGTCAAATTAAAGCTGACGCTTTAACCTTGGAGTAACTGCTCCATTTCAGATCCAATGTGCTAGTGTACAGAGCCAACACTAAAAATATTCAATCACAGTTCAAACATCCTTGCATGCTAAAGTTATATATATTTGTGTCTTTCTGGAACATGGAGTAAAAAGAAAATGTGCTAAAGGCATTATTACTATAAAAGCACTTGAAACAGCACTTTTATAGACTCTAATGACTACTTTTTTTTTACCAGAAAATGGCAAAAACAGTCACTAATTAGTGGTCATTCATTGAATTATTCTCCGAATCCCACATTGCCATCTTAAATCACAGCTCAACAACATAATTCTCAGGCACACAAATAAGTTTAATAAAAAATTTATTGAGCCTTGATTTTTTTTTCCATTTTTCATGAGTGCTAGTTCTGATTCAATACAAAACCAAGCTACAAACATTGAGTGCAGACTAAACAGCCAACAAAAAGCCACACATACTTCTTCAAGTCAATGTAGCATAAAATAACGTTTACAAATGACTAAAGTCTGCACACGTCCATTGCATGACAAGAACTGTAACATGAAACAATTTGTCAAAATGGCAGTACTGTTCTTCAGAAATGACTAAAGTTTGACGGATTGGACTGTATTAGATGTGAGTGTATGACTCACAGTCAGAGGAAATGGTTTTACGTGTCTGGATTGACTGGATATGTTTAAGATAACCAGGAAGGTTATTAAAGGATGTGGCTTCAGCTCTCCACTGGAGCTCGGGAGATGGGTGTGGCCCCTTCAGATTGTGAGGAAGGTGGAGTTGGGTCTATGCATAAAGAAAAGGAGAAATTAGTTCAAAACTGTGCACATACTTGCCCAAGTCATAACAAAATGGTCATTGATACTGGTTTTAAGAAGCAAAAATTCTGATAACTGATATTGGCCAGTGAAAATTTTCTATGCTCAAATGTTATACAGACAGTTTATTTAAACAGTGCTTTAATGCAGTGGTTCTTGCAATCAGTCCTCAGGGTTCATGATGCATAGTAATAGAGCAAAAATGTGGACTATCTAGCTTTCCACCAGTTTGCTGATTTCTATTAATGAGCTGTTATTTTTCTTACTTTTCTTTGGATTTTTTCATACAAAGGTTTTTGTGCTACAAACATGCCTTTATAACACAGCTTTGATGGCCTGATGCATTTTATTGTTATTTTAACCATGATGGTTTGTGTCCTAGTTTACCAGGTCACTTATACTGATAAATAAGCGGCACCTTAATATTAGGCAATATATCGATTGGGCTCTAGAACGGAGGAGACCTACACGATTACTTCGGAGATCACAATATGATGATCATAAAACAAATATATCCATAAAAAGAGAGAGAGGATGATAAGGTTTTAGATGTACTTACACATGCCGTTAGGGGCACCGGCATGTCGGGAACCTATCATTTGCCCTGCTCCTCCACTGCCAATTGCACGACCTGGGATAGAAGAATAAAGAAAGACTTCGTTACATACACAGTTAAAACAAAGCAAAAGGAAACTCAAAGGCATTTTGTAGGATGCACTGATATGGGAATTGTGGGCCGATGCCAATATCTTCATGTATATGCCGATACATAAAACATTTATAAAGCGCAGAAACTGGGAGGTCAACCTGGATCATCATCACAGAGAAACGTAACACTTATTAACAAAGGATTACAAATGCAGTAAAACGAATAAATGCTGACATTTTAGTGCAGTAGCCCAGCATCACCTTTTAAGGAAATATTGCAATCATATTGGGGATACTACTGTGCATCCCTGAAATTTTTTCTACAAGTTTGGTAGAATATTTACAATGACAAAGTTGTGCATTTTGGTTTGTGTGGGAATACAGGGACTTGCATTATGGACTACATAAGACTGTTAAATGTAAGGATGAGCATGAGCTTGAGTGTCGATTACTGTCATCGTGAGCATGTTTTTGAATTCAAGTGTCTGAATACGTACCATGATGTACAGGGTTATACACCGTTCCACCACTCTGTGAGGCTCCAGGCTGCTGCTGTTGCTGCTGCTGCTCCAGGTGCTGTCGAGCTTTTAGCTCAGCATACTTCACCTGCTCCATGTGGAAGTTCTGCCTCTCTGACAGCAATTGCTGCCTCTGCTGCTCCAGCTGCAGAGAACACATACAGCAGGTCCTTACACAGGGTTACCAGGAGATGAGTACTGTGCTGGCATAATGTTCCAAAACACTCCCACATTGCTACTTTGAATATCACAGAGAGTACATTACAGTGTTACATTAACTTTTTTGACGTAGGCGTTTTGGACTGCAAAGGAAAATGTTGTGTAATAAACTGATCTTTTATATAGTCATATGCAAATGTTTGCCCACTTTGATGATTTTCTAAGTAAAAATAAATTAATATGTCTTCTACAGGGAACAAATCTAAATACTGTAAGTTTTTCCAAATTTCAAAAACAAATGCTATTTATTTGCTGAACTTAACATATTGGAAAAAGCATAAAATATCAAATGTGTCACATTACATGTTATTTTCACCCTCAATATGTTAAATACAGCAGATAAACAGTAGCTGTTAGAATATGCAGAAGTGTGTTCTCTGTAGAGGATGTGTTAACTTATTTTCACTTTCACTAAACTCAACAAAACACGTAATTTGACCAGGGGCAGCCAAACTTTTGTCTATGACTCTATTAAAACAACGAACACTGACTGCTCTGGGACAACCATTCTGTTAACCTACCGCCTCTTTTTCTCGGTCCATGATGGTTTCCAGCTCCTCAAAGTGCCTCAGTTTGATCTCCAGCTTCTTCATTTGAGTCTCAACCAGCAAAGCCACCAGAGACTTAATCTTTCTCTCCTCAACTGCAGCCAAATGCTACAAAAAGAGCATGAGATGTAGATAAATGGTGAAGTGCTGAGATTTAATACTCCTAGATAGTCAATATACCAAGAGTGAATGCAGGAAATGCTTACCACCACTTCCTTCCATTAGGGCTTAGTTCATTTATTTTCATAATACATGGACATTTAAGTGCCTCTAGACATGTATGGCTAAGTTACAGGCTATTAAGTAATGGAAAAAGGCATGCATTTTACACATAAGGGATTAAACATCTAAAGCAGCCATTTAATAAATATTAATTGCTAAACAGAGTTGGGAAACATGGTACATGTATTACAGTCAACTTCATCTTACTAATATTAAATTCCCGTGGATTTCCTGACTAGATGATTAAAATAGATGTTCTTTGTAGAGAATGTGTTAACAAGACAACTCTTGTCCATAACTTAGCTGCTTAGGCTCTTACTTTGGCTTTGGTGGCTGCAGAGGCCAACGCAGCAGCAGCAGCTGTAGCAATATTTGCTTCAACCAACTCAAGCTCCTTCCTCCTTCCTCTGTCTTCCTCTTCTCCTTGAGTCTGGTCCACCTCCAACGCTTCTTCTTTAAGGCATACAAAGAGAGAGATAAACAGAAGGAGCGTTAGTTAGTTTTAACTAAACAATCCTTGATGCATCTTCAGCCTGACTGCACATCTTTATATAAGATGTATGAGTGGTGTTGCACTTAGTTAAGGAAAACACAAACCTGCTGTGTTCTCCTCTCCTTTTTCTCCTTCACTCTCATCTCTTTCCTCATTCTTCACTCGCTCTCCCTCTCCTGTGATGTTTTCTCCCACAGTCTGAAAGTGAGATTGATAAACAGAGAGAGAGGGAGAGATAAATAACCCTCAAAACCCCAGTGTTGTCATATTTTTTTCTAGTTTTACTATTCAGTAGCTACATGAAAAGCAATGCAAACTATAGTTTTTTTTTTAAGTTATAGAAAAGTGTAATGAAAGTTTGTGAGTCCTGGCCATTTAAGAGGATAATAAGAGTATGAAAAGCTGGATTTAAATTGTAAACTGCTGTAATCATACACAATCAATTAAATACTTTCATAGTTATTTGTTAATGTATTACTGAAGCACAATGCATTGCATATTGATCTCAATGACTATTTATGGTTAAATGGTTACTTTAGATGCTTTAGAGCAAAACAATAGATGAGGACAAACTGGTTCTCACACCTTGTCATGCTGTTCAGACTCAAATTCCATTTTTTCCATTCCGGATCCATCTAGAAAGAAAAACAGAGAAAAAGCAAATAAGCCATATCATTAATATTTCTTTTCCATTTAACACTGCCAATCAGCTTGGGGATATGCTGAGACTAATGCTGCCCCCTGTTGGCCATGTTTTGTATGTGTGTGTTGTGTGTGTGTGTGTGTGTGTGTGTGTGTGTGTGTACCACTCTTTTCCAGTTGATCAGATTCAGATCCTGAGATGTTACTTGACTGCATCCCAAAAGCAGGATCAAGTCGTGCTAGACTCCTCCCAGGCTCTTGGACTTTACGGATGTTGGGGTTGAACAGCTCTGGAGGGGCTTCCTCTCTCACTCGAGAGAACTCCTCTGAGAAAAAAGACAGACACATAGTATTACAAGCCAGTCTGTTTTGTTTTCTTTATACTGAAACAGTCGCTGTAACATAGACATGTGGTCACTTGCATGAGTTATCTTAAATATTTATCTGAAATAAAATGTTTTAAGAATAAATTTAAATTTGGCAACACTTTTTGTAATCAACTGTGGATGTTTTACAGATCCTCAGTCTGTTTTTAATTAACATTCAACTAAATATCTTTTACATGCAACTGAACTTGAAGTTGAGTATGACAGATTCTATTAAGTCTAACCCTAACCCTAAGGGCTGAAGTCAATCTGTTCAAAGAGGCACATTTTCAGACCTTTCTGTCCAAACTATCACTGAACAACATATATGCATAACTGTGAAAGCATTTGTTGCTGTAGAGCTTTGAAATAGTTTTCTGTTTTGGCTTTTATAATTATATGCCTAACAATGTATACCACAGTGTTTCAAAGTAATAACAGTATTTCAAAAACATGATGATATTTAAAAATTAAAATGGTCTCAAATAACTGTTTCACATCTATCTAGTTAATAGCCAAATACATATGTTCAGGCCATTCGCATTTTCATCGGGGGGGCAGTCTGTAAGATCTGCCTGAAAACAAGGCCAACAGGCATTCCCATCTATAAGTCAAGCCCCCTTTAAATGCTTCACAGATGCTGTCAACCTGTCGACATTTGGCTTGCTCATAGGGGCTTGGACCATGTTCAATTTCGTCTGCCACTCCCAAATAAGTCACTTAGCTTTGCGCTGTCAGATATTAATTTTAATCTACTAAACATGTATAATGAGAGGAACTGAGCCTGTACTGTGGTGGGTGGCATTTTTGCCCTGCTAAAAGAGCTATTGTTAGCTTAGCTAACAGGCTACAACTCCAAAATCCTCTGAACAGGTGCGATTTGAGCTTTCTGTCAATCCAACACCACTGACTCAACTTTGCTCTCTCAGACATGACTTTTTATTGTCTGTCAATGGCATAGCTTCTGCGTATGCAAAGTACACTTTTACGTCCAGGCCTGTGTTTTGGGGGCCATGAACTGCCTCTGTGTTTTATGTTATGAATGCAAAATCGGATGATTTTTGGATGAAATGGGCAATCTTTCTAAAACTTGATACAATTGAATCTCAGACAAACTGACTTGACTCATGAATGCATCACTGAGGCACACATCTGATCTGTATTGGCAAACTAAATTTAAAAATGCAAATAGTTTGAGTTAAATCCACAGTGCCAGTTATGTTCTTTTCATCCAATGTGTAGCTGTTAAAATCAGTTTGAAAAGTGCTTGCTGGGTATAAGTTTGTGTTAGGTGTGAGTTCTCCACTAGTACTAATATATAATACAAAGAGACTGGTTTATACATCTTTTGTGCTTTCAAACACACCTCATAATATTATTATTAATTATCATTATATTATTACGCTGTTATGTCAGGTCTTGCTGGACTTGCCAGGCGATGGTTTGTGTCATGGATTAAGGGGAGCATAATAATAACAAAAACAACTCTGCATGTGGGCCCATCAGTAGTGTACTAGTAGTTTCAGTCGAACCTGTACTGTGGTGTGGTAGTAATGGATCTGTAGCCTGCAAGCTATGCTACCATTCCCACAAAACAGGTTTCATTTCCAACATTGGTGATTTGACTTCACTGCCACAGATTTTATTTATGTTACACCTTTGTTGATCCTACAAGGAAAATTTGTGATTTTGCCGCATAACTACACCCAGTCTCAAAGCAGAACAGTGTCACCAGCCCCCAGCTAGCAGCACTGTTTACCATTCATCAACTGAAAAAAGTGAATACTGCCCAACTCTATCTGCACTGTCTTTGTAAATGGCTTACTAAATGCCAGATATTCACAAACACGCACACACACACACACCCAGGGCTGCTTTAGCAGCGGCAGAGGCCACTCTGGGGTCCACTACTGAAGCGAGGAAGGCCACAGTGCTCATGACAGGGTTGCCTGATTGGCTAAAGGGAACAGGCTGATAGGCTAGAGGGCCCAAAGAGGCTTCAGAGTTCTCCAGGTAAGGGTCCTCTATGGGCAACCGCAAGAAGTGCAGGATACACTCATCCTGTGTGCGGCTGCCCACATGCTCAGAGACTTTATTCCAGTCATCTTTATACATCTCTAACGCCTGAGAGAGAGAGAGAGCGCGAGAGAGAGAGAGAGAGTGAGACAGAGTGAGTATGCATGTTTCTCTGAAATACAGGTTACTACGGCTGATCAAAGTATATTTTAAAGACTACTGGTTGCCTTGCCCACCTCCAAGAGCAACAGCGTCTCCTGTTCTGTCCACTCTCGCCCTGCATTTGCTCCTTTCGTCTATAGAGAACACAAACATAGAGAAATCCTGTTTACAGTTGTGGTTTCAGGACCATGGACAGCTCTCTGAAGCACAGATAAGAATACCTAATGCTACCACAGTAAGTGTCACGATGAGGATGGTTAACAATTTAGCATGTGTGCGAGTTATAAAGACACCTTGGGATGTTTCTTTGCATAAATATCGGTTCGCAGTCCAAAATTCTGCAAGTCAGAAGGTTTTTCTCTGCTCTTCTCTGGAAAATGGAGCATATGCTGAGAGGCTGGAACCTACAATTACAAAAAAACATAAAAACACTTAAACCTCATAAACCCACAAAGACAACTACAACGCACTTTGTGTGCATGTTTACCTGTAACGGTCTGTGTTGTAGAGGAACGAGGGCGGACGGTGAGTCTGTAAGAACATTAAAGTGTGGTGTTGGGGGTGGGCCCATAGGAAGAGGTCTGCTCTCAGCATCCACCTGGTAGTTTATCAAACCCCACTGCTCCAGGAACGCATGAACCCTGCACATATGCACACCACGAAAGATTTTAATGACATTCAAACAATTTACATACTCTGGTCAAGATTTAATGGTTTTGGAAATACGCAAGGTGAGAGTGAGAGATAAATTTAACACACACAGTGTGCTAACCTTATAAGGGCACACACATCTCCTGTAAGGTTGCGCCTGCAGGAAGTGGAGGTCAGGTATTCTTGAGGGTTCAGTCGGTATGTGTCAATCATGAAGTTACGATACGCCAGATATCTGCAAATATCAACAACACAAATAAGTCTGCTTAATACTTGGCCAGTGTGTGTGTGTGTCATATATATATATATAGACACACACACAACAATCAGGCATAACATGACCACCTCCTTGTTTCTACGCTCATTGTCCATTTTATCAGCTCCACTTACTATATAGGAGCACTTTGTAGTTCTACAATTACAGACTTTAGTCCATCTGTTTCTCTGAATACTTTTACCCTTTTACCCTGTTCTTCAGTGGTCAGGACCCCCCCCCCCCATGGACCCTCACTGAGCAGGTACTATTTGGGTGGTGGATCATTCTCAGCACTGCAGTAACATTGATGTGGTGGTGGTGTGTTAGTGTGCATTGTGCTGGTACGAGTGGATCAGACACAGCAGTGCTGCTGAATGCCTGATTGGTGTATATATGTATGTGTGTGTGTGTGTGTGTGTATGTGTGTGCGTGCGCGTGTGCGTGTCTATAGTACTGTGCAAAATCAGAGATCACCCTTTTGCTTATTTTATTTCCAGTCAAAACGACCATTATGTATATGTTTTTCAGCTTCAGAGAAAGCAGAAAACATATATTAAACAGAAAATTAAACAGAAACTTATTCATATTTATTTTTGTGCATCCGGTGTCACTTTAACTCCATCATTCCAGAGACACTAAGATTCACACGAGCAACTACCCAAACATACCTTACTTACCTTGTAAATTTCTTTCTCATGTGCATCTATAGAGTTATAAAGAGGTATTTCTGAGATACCTGAGATTAGATGTAAGATTATCCTTATCAAACAAAGAAGCTTCTGGTGTTCTCAGAACAATGGACTGACCATCCCAGAGTCCAGACCTTAACATCACTGAATGTGTGTGTGTGTGTGTGTGTGTAGAGTAGTAGTATGTACTATGTATATTTGTGTACATAAAAGCCTCACATCTCAGGTGATTTGGACTTGTTCTTCCCATTGAAGAACTCAGGCAGTGCTCTCCTCTCTATTCGATGAATACTGTGACAAAGAGACACAGACAAATCAGAGTGTTTCATTACAAACACTTCCAAGTTTTATTTAACTAAAAATGCAACAGAAAGGGAAAAAAGCACAGATTACAGATTCGCTATACCTGTTAAGCCCGTTTTCCTACTTACCATCTTTGCAGTTACAAAAACACAACATTCAAACCAAAATGCCGGAGTGCTATGAAAGTTTCATACCTCCTCACATACATAATTGAAACAAACTCCAGTGGGCTTTGGAGTGCTGACCTCATTATACACAAACTGTTGTATTCATACAGACATCCATCTTCACACATACTTGGAGTGCAATCTGAGTGTTAATGAAGATCTAAACTGGTTTTCTAATAACTGTTTAATTTGATCAAGCTGTACTATAAGAACAGGAATCAACAAGTTCACCAATGAGTGAAAACACACATCAGCTGCATAATGAGGTTTAATTCTTTGCAAACTGATTCTAACCTATAACTGTACAAAAATTGAACTTTTGCTGGTCCCTGCCTTTCTCTTTTTGCTGCAAATTACACATATTAAGCACTTAAAGCAATAAAATCTTTGGTCTCTAGTTCTTTTTATAAAGATGACAGTTCTGTTAACAACAAAACAAGCAGCGATGTCTGACCTCAATTAGATTACAATTCTATATGAATCAATTCAATGAATCATTAAATCCTATATTTCACCAATTTTTATTTTGGCACAACTGTACAAAAGGGGGAAATGTAAGACAGTTTGTAAAAAGTAGACTTCTAGAAAAAAGTTGGAATATTTTGAGAAAAAAAGTTGTAAAATTTTGAGAAAAAAGTCGTAATATTTTGAGGATAAAGTGGGCTAATTATGGGGGGTTGCCATAACGTGTTGGGGTCTTGGTTGCTGTACTGGCGACGGCGACGACGCAGAGCATCCCGGAGTCCCACACTCATTGTCTCCTTGTGGATCGATAATTTTGATTTTCATTCATATTGTTTGTGAAACTTCATGCCCTCTTTCAATGGCACAGAGATGTGACCACCGACAGCTGTGTAGACGACACTGCCTGCGATACTCCTTCAACATAACAGTTTCCTCTAAGTTCGTCTGGTTCTTTATTCTAAATAAACACAGTTTCCTGCACAGCTGTTTGAGCCATTTCTTATACTAATAACAGGTTGGTGCTGATGTGTCAGGAGAGACAGGGAGAATTTCTTTATGGGTGAAATCCATTTATATATGAATCCTTTATATATGAAAGTATAACTCCACCAACTCCTCAATGCCCATCATTTTAACACGAGGAGGTGCTGCCTTCCTTTTGCAAACACTTTGGCCACAATATTGCAACCTTTCCTGGTATTAATGCCACTTTAATGTCGTAGTTCTATGATTTTATTCTAGAAATATCACGACTTTATTCTCAAAATATTAAGACTTTATTCTCGAAGTCTGCTATTTTTATTTTTATTAACAGTGGCCCTAAAACGCCGTTGTATTTTGGAGACGTCTGTTGGAAATCCGTAACTGACACTAATCTAGTGTACGCTACAGTCAGAGGGAAGAGTGCAGCCAGGGGTCAGCTGGCTCATGGCTGTGGCAAACGACTCACCAGTTGTAGTCGAACCACGAGGTGTAGCTGGGTATGATGATGTGGTGAGTCTGCTCTGTAGCACTCTCCTCACAATCCAACGCACGGCCAAACTCTCTACCCTGATCCTCCTCATCCTAAACACACAAACACACGTCAAAGCAGTCGATCAGTCAAAGTCATAGAAGTCGATCAGTGCACCAATGTGTCCTACAAACACATGGCCAATACACTGGTCAGTACATATCCATAATATACCCAAAATAAACCACAGAGAATGACAAAAGAGCAATGTCTCAGTAGTTTATGACTGCTTAAATATGGTTATTAAAATCCATTAGCATTAAATGATGACAATAGGGAGTACTTACCCTGACACCAGATAGGAATTCATCCTCCTGATCGTCTATAAAAGAGGAACGTTACATCTTACAATGTCGAACACAAACACACCGTAGTGAAAATCAACCCAGAGGTACACAGACGCATGAACACGTACAGCCTTACCTAAGTCAGCCATGGTCCCCCCTTTCACTGGTGTGTTCTCACTGTCCTTCTTCATGTTTACTGTCAAGAAAGGCAAGCATTAGCATTATATCACCGATAAACAGCAAGAGACTATAAAACAAGGAATGAAGAAAGTGTGAAGAAGAAAAACACAAAGAAACCAAAAAATGATCACACATTATTTATATATATATATATATATATATATATATATATATATATGCATACACACACACACACACACACCATTTTTAGGCAGCATGACCTCTTCCATGTTAGGCACAGGTGTTGGGTCCTCCATGTCTTTTGTCAAGTCCTCCTCTGGCTCCTCCTCCTGCTGGCCACGCCTCTTATACAACCCTGAACTACAAAATACAAAAGAGTCAATTTATCATAAAATTAAACATACTGAACATGATTATATTATATCCAAATCTAAAATAGAGGTGGAATGCAAAAGTTGGGGAAAAAGTGGTTTGACATTACCCTTTCTTTCCTCCTTTCTTCCTGGACTCAGATGAAGATGGAGAAGGGGAGCGCCTCCTCTTCTTCCCAGACACCTTGTGCTCCTTATAGAGAAAAGAAAAGACTGAGAGATAAAGAGATGTGAAACACAGAGAGGTGAAAAAAGATGAGCAGGTGGGGCTCTACCTCCTCATCTCGTGGGTAAATGCGCCGTCGGTAGCTCATACTCCTTTTACTGTCATCCACCTCATAGTCTTCCTCGTTCATCCACTCATTATATGTGTCCGTGTCAAGAACCCATTTAGCATGTACCTATGAGGGTATTTGAAACATCAGACGAGGTGGCTTTTAACTCATATTTTTACAAATGTTTTAAATTCACATAAATGACTGAGTGTTTGACTCAATTTCACAGTGAGAAAAGCAAAGTATGTTCAATCCAAATCAAGCATTTTTGGTATTTTGACAGCACAATGTCAAATCTTTGCAATAGGATTTTCAGTTCACTCACCTTCCATGGCCGATCTAGACTGGGGGCTTCCTCTACATCTGCATCAATATCACTGACTGACATCAATGTATCATAACTAAAAAGTACACATATATCAACACAGCAATGAAAAAAAGCTCTAGTAATCTTCTGAGTGTGTGTGTGTGTGTGTGTGTGTGTGTATTACTTACCTATCTGGGTACATGCCCCAGTGTACCATCACATCTTGATCTACCCGCATGATGGGTCTAAGCCACTCTTCTGCCAAAAAAAAAAAGGAAAGAAGAAAAATTAGGGTCACATCATATGCATGTTTGTGTACTCACATATATTTGTAACATTAAGTCCAGACACAAAAAAGTTGGGGCAGTATATTAAGTGGAAATAAAAACAGAAAGCAGTGACTTGTAAATCCACTTTATACTGTGTTTACACAAAACAATACCAGAGATTCACCACAAAAAAATAGTTGAGACTCACCACAAAAAAGCATCTGTGAATAATCCAACAGTGTAATAACAATGGGATTCATTCACTGACCATTTTTAAGACGAAATTTCTTCTTAAAACCCATTTATGCTGTTTTTACAAAGAATCTGACATTCACCAATGTTTTATTATTTGGAATTTGCTTTTCGGTAAGAACAGAATCTACACACACTCAACAGCAGAATAGTGTTCTCTGGTCCAAGAATACATCAAAAATCTGACGCAGACTTTAAAGACATTTCACAAGAACAAATTTAAGAAAAAACTTAGGATGATATTGGTGAATAAGACGCAATGTCCCTCAACAAGCGATTGCAAGGATTTTAGCCTCTTCTGTGCATAATATCATTAAAATATTCAGGAAACCCAGAGAAATCTCTAAGCCTAAAAATCAAGGTTAATGACCTTTGATTTCTCATTTGGCACTGCATTAAAGACCTGCATGCTTTTGTGATGGACATGCCCACATACTTTGGCAACTTGCTGTTAATAAGTTAAGACTGTACTATGCACTGTGGAAGTCATATGTCAACAATTAGAAACGCCAATGACTTCTTTAGGCTCAAGCTCATCTGAAATGGACTGATGCACAGTGGAAACATACATTGAAGTCTGATGAGTCAACCTTTCAACCTTGTTTATGAAAATAATGGATGTCGTGTTCTCTGGGCCAAAGAACAAAAGAACCATCCAGATGGTTACCAGCATGAAGTTCACTGTCTGTCATGGTATGGGGCTGTATCAGTACCTGTGGCGTGGGTAACTTGCACATCTGTGAAGGCACCATTAACACTGAACATACGCTCCAAACGCCTTTTTAGGGACATACATGCTTGTTACGACATGAAACCAAGCCACATTCGCCAAGTGTTACAACAACATGGCTCCCACTGAAAACGTGTGGTGCATTATGTAGCACAAAAAACGACAAGACGACATGGTTGTGACGACCTGTCTAATGGAAGAATGGCAAAAAAACTGGATCAATTGAGGTCTTCAGTCCCCAAGGAATGCTGTTAAAAGAAAAGGTGATGTAACACAGTGGTGAACGTTCCTATTCCAACTTTTTTGGAACGTGTTGCAAGCATCAAACTTAAACTAAACACATATTTAAAACACAAAGAAAAAAAAACATTATTTAATGAGATAAAGCATCAAAATATCAAGCTTTTAATTTATTACAAGTCAAATTAATCACAGTTGTCTGTTTTGTAGCTTATGTTGTTCAAATACAGTTACAACTTTTTTTGAACTGAAGTTTGCAGTTCACACTTACCTTCATCAGCTAAGATGGGAAAGGGGTAGATTTGATGGGTGGCCTGTAACTTATCTTCCGTGACTGAACCCTGATATATATAAAGAGAGGAAAAAACACTGAACATGCTGCAGACAAATAAGACGGTAAGGCTCTGTTCATACCTGGTGTTAACATCGGTGATCTGATCACAAGAGGTATGCATGCTTACATATGGGATTGCCATGGTTTTTGCTTTTCCACTGATAATGCAAGGAAGGGGACCATACACATTTACAACAGTCTTGCTGTGTTTGTCATCAGACAAAAATGTCCCATGAATCCTTGATCATGTACATGCACAAGCTGTTACAAACAGCCATAAGCACTCCACTGCCTTAGTAATGGGTTTTACACCAAACTTGTTACAGCAACATGGCTGACTTGTAAAAGGATCAGTTCATGCCTAGGCCTGGGTATTGAAATTCAATACTGTAAAAGCAGCATTAGGGACACATCAGGACACTTCAGTGTTCCCACAGCAAATGTTACATGGTGCATCTCAACCACCTCAGAATGCCGTCTGAGTAATGATAAACATCGTTGGACCCCATTCACACCTGTACTTTGCGCTGTCCACTTATGATTGGATATACCAAGATGTATGTTACTGCAAGGTGTCTAAAGTTATTTCTTCTCCTCATACTCACACTCACCTGATGACGTGTGATGATGTCGTTGAGTTTGCTGGCCTGTTTCTGTTCTATCTCAGGGGACAGATACACCACAGGTCTGCTCAGCAGGTTATTCTACAGATATACAATAATACATTAAGTCAAACTTAGTACTAAATACATACATTCTGCCTGGAGTTTAACAGCAGATTAAATTTTTTTATTAATTCATTCATTCACATTTTTATTGAAACACACATCTTAAACACATATTTAAATGTAGTCCGATATAAAGTATTTTTACCTAAACACATTTTTATGTAGACTATAGACTATACTTTACATGAAAACACATTGCTGTGTAGCAGATCCTCCACATAATCTGTACCTGTAACAGGGTTTTCTCCACACTGACGAACATTTCTATGTTGCGGTCAAATCGGGATGGATTCTGCATGTCAAAGCGGCGCCTAAAGCAAAGCAGTGAAGTGGAAAAGAACAGCACAGTAACCTTTAAAGTCATAAGCACTCTCCTGGCTTAGCACTTGCTTTTATACTAAACTCATTACAGCAACAGGGCTGACTTGTAAAAGGATCAGTTCATGCCTAGGCCTGGGTATTGAAATTCAATACTTACATGATACTTACGTCAATACTATCCCAAAAATGCAAATTTTCATAAACAATTCCATGTCATTTCAGGCAAAATTTCAATACCTAAGTAATTGCACATTTTCTGACCAATATTGTGAAAGTGAATTAAACTTTTTTTTCTATAAATTAAGATCAATGCCTGTATGTTGGCCAAGAAAACCAGAAAATCCACTCTTACTGGCTTGACATTTGGATACTGAAATAAGGATGTGCATTCTGACAAATTCTGGGAGTCCAGAATCCTTGTAAATTCATGAACAGACATCTAGTTAACCACAGGGAAGGAAAAACCAACAAATGACAGCAACAACAACAACAAAAAAACTCTAACCAAAAATAACATAGGGCTGTTAGCTTAGCTTTTTAGATGACACCACTGGTGTTGCACAAAAACATAGCAGCAAAAACAGCTGAGGGACATTCAGGTCTTCTATACAAGTTATTTTGTCTTCAGAGGACAAAGTGCCGACATGTTATTTGTAAGAGAAATATATTTTTACTGTTTCTGGGCCTCACTAACATTATTACAGTAGTTAGCGCAGCCGCACTAGCTCTGCCTTCTCAGTCACTGCCTTAACAATGCGTCCTTGGCACTCACACTAAGACAATCGCATTTCAATGCAGCAAAGTATAACATAACATAATTACTCATATATGTGAGCAAAACCTACAGGCCTCACTAAACTACTAGCCTGTATATCTTCCCTGTCTACCTGCAATGGAACACACAAGTACCCAAATGATGATTTCAGTCTTCAAATACTGGCACCTCGAATGGTTAACCTAGTACTTGAGTACCCGTGCACATCCCTACGCTGAACATAGCGTGCTAGGCTACCAGTTAGTTATGGTTGCGCTGTCATGTACACAGCAAATGGGTGTTTGGTTGCTTCTGATTTACAGGCAGTTTATAACCTCCATGTTATTAAGTTCAATTTTCCCACTCAAAAGACAATGTTGTTGACAATGCAAGCTATAGCAAAAATCATACCTCTTCCTCTTTTAATATTGAACTCCTTCAATTTACAATTTCAATATAAAAAACAAATAATATTTCAGTTCTACTTCAGCCAGTAAGCATGCATTAAAATCTACACTAATGCAGTAGTGACTGGCTGTCTAAATTGGATTAAATGTGCATGTTATTAATGCCCAAGCTTCTTGATTGATCTACAATCAATTGCAGTCAGTAAAGTTCCAGCAACTCACTAGCTTAATCCACACCCATTTTTTTTAGCTCGTAGAAGAGTTCTGAAAAGACTATAACTCAGGAAAACGTTCAGGTTTTGAAGCGAAGGTATCAGTATCGAAAAATTTTGAAAGACTCAATTTGAACGAATGATGGCATTTCACATGCTAATAAATACAACTACATGGGCACATGGTGCTGAATTTAGACAAGCACTGTTATTCAGCACTGGCTCATGTGGGTCCAGGTTGTGTAATATTTGCAAGATGCATTATTTCTTGCATATTGGCTCTTTCAAGAGCTAGTGTAGGAGAATATAAGAGTGCAAAATAAACCCTGAATACTCACCAGCCTTGCTCTGTCTTAAATTTATATGCGGAGCCAAGGATGTGACAAAGAGCACCAGCAGGCTTCATGTCCAAAAAGCACTTTGCCTGTGGAAACAAAAAGCAGAAATCTGACAATGCCTGCAAGTAGAGCTGTTTAACTCTGGCAATGTTATTGGGCACTCAACATTTGGAAAAGAATCATTTGCAATCTGCCTACGCACTGGGATTTGTGAAATGCCTTAACCAGATTTCAGGGTGATAGAAGTAAATGAAAAGTGCTTGTATGAAAAAAAACATGGCTAAAAGAGCAAAAGTGGGCACACGATTGAGCTGCATTAAACGTGATTGCGATATGTCTTGCAATATATTAAAAACACATTAGGGAATGCTTGGTATGGTTAAAGACTGGCTTGCATCATTTCTGATCAAGATGATCTACATTTGCTGGATCACGTGAAAGTCTTTTTGCATCTCAACACCCACAGAAACTTTGCTGTTGGTCAAGATGCTCACAGTAATAAAACAATGAGTGATTTGCTAGAGGGCTCAGTTGCATGTTGCAGTCTCATGTGATGCCAGTACTGGAGAGGAGAACATTGCAATAATAATTAACAAACTATATGTTGTGCAGCCAAAGGACACGTGAGAAAAATGTCTCTTGAAATAGGAGAAATTGGTTACTTACCGGCAGTTTTGTGAGGCCAGGGTTGCTTGCTCTGCGGCCAAAAGCATCCTCCTGAAACTGTAGAAGCTGGATAATCAGCCCTGAGAGAGACTTACCAGAAGGAGCATCAGTCTGCACATACTGGAGAAACAAACAGAAATAAAACCACATGGAGTTGAAGACTGATACTGAGACATGTAGTTATGTCAATGATGAATTAATTTGATGTGTCAATTTAGGAAAAACATCACAATTCTTGAAGACATTTTCTTTATATACAATATTCATCACAATATTTTCTTTTGCTGAGGTTTGATCAGTAGGAAAAGAAAAACGAACCAGTAGTGCCATATTTAAGAAAACAAATGGGTGAAAACTATGAATAGGCTACATACCGCTCTGCCCTAAATCAGACGATCTTAGCGTAATTATGCTGTCTTTGTAATAAAACAGTTGGTTAGTCAACTTTAATATTGTCATATTACCCCTTTTGTTGCATTGAGCTTGTTTATGACTATACAAGGCTAAAAAAGCCTACATGCAACTTGTTTGCAGATAAAAGCAAGTCTACTGATTGTTGAAGGTTATTACTAGTCACACACGTTCTTTTAGTCAGGTAAGCAACTTCTTTTACAGTGGATAGAGTGTGAGAAGAAATGGTAAGACTAACAAAGTGAGAGCAGACGATGAAGGAGGTGTGTCAGTGCTGAGCTATTACATTAACTACATTAGCTAACTAACGCTAACTAGTTAGGTTAACTAAGCTGTAAACAATGACCATACATTGACATCACCTGAGAGAGAACACAGCATCGAGGATGAGGGCAATTATGTTATAACGGCAAAAGCAACGTTGTTTATACTCAAACCATGCAAACCACAACGCTTGTTAGGCTGAATTCTGACAGAAGATGCTTTCTTTTCAAATCAGAAAACATCCTATTAACTGCTACGTTATGTTAGAGAGCTAACTTGACTAGCTAACTTTCTATTTTAGGTCACCTCGCTATGTTGAAGTATATATCTTAGTAATAAGACTAATCTTACTATTAACGCGTAAATAAACAGCAGTTCGGGCAATAAGGAATTAAGTTCTGAATTACAGCGAATGTAAATGAACACTGTCGCGCAGCCTGACAGTCTGAAATGTCAGTAAAGCTGCAGGATGTAAACACGTAGTAACGTTAGCTAGCTGCTCTGCTCGCGAGCCCGCGCTGTCGCCGTAACCAGCCTACTGACCTTTTTGTAATGTTTTCCAATCCAGCTGCGGACCGTTTCCAGCTGCGCCACCGTCTCCACACTCTCCCAGAACTTACAACATGGATCCCCATCTTTTTTCCGGCTGAAAGCGGAGCTGCCGCCCGCCCCGCTCTGTGCTGCTCCCGGGGTTTGAGTCGCCATTGTTCCGCGGAGAGCCGCTCAGTCGCGCAGCGGTACTCTCGCGATGAAGGACGGGGCGGGGCGGGACTACAGGAGAAGATGGCTGCGTCCAAAACCGCACACATAGTGTGTTCAGTATGTACGACAGTATTTTGTAGTATGGTGGATACATTACACCAAACCAAACAATGAACCACCAATAGTAGTGCGTTTATTAGTGTGGTGTGTATAGTACGTATAGTATAGTGTAGTAAGTGAATTGGGACCCAGTCTGATTAGACTGTATCATACATATTCAATGTACTATAATGAATACCCTTCTAATGATCGTGTACGATTTTGACATGCTATTATGCACGGCAGTATGCGATTTTGGGCGATTTTTTGTTTTTTTTTTGTCTCTCTGCGCTTGCGCTCTCTGAGGACACTGGTGTGTTTACTGAGGTGCTCGAAGCGCACTCTGAGTAAGCAAGTACGATAGGGAGCGGGAAAAGATGCGTCATGTCTGCTTTCGGGAAATTAAAAAAAGCCTGAATTTGGGAAATAAAACTAATTAATTAAATAAATAAAAAATATGTTGGGAAAATGAATATGTTAATAAATAAATAAATAAATTCAACTAAACGTATGCCCAATCTGTACTTGAGGAATAAATAAATGAACAAACAAACAAATAAAATACAATAAAAATAGTGAATAAAAAATAAATAGTGGCAGCACTTATACTTAATATAAATTAACTTCTATGGTGCCTAATATCTTAAATGGATTACAGGTAGGAATTTGAAAAATATAAAAATATATTTAGTTAATTTACAGAACGATTAAAAAATAATTAAGAACAACAAGCTGCCACCGAAAAGTTCTTGAGGGGTAATTATCAAAAATATCTATGTTTTAATATCTGAAATTCAAAGCGTTTCAACATTTCAAACATAAGTTACTATTAATTATGAAGCACGATGATGACACAGTGGCCTTCTCTCCCACTTCTTAAGGTTTTTTTAAGGGCCTGCTCAAAATTCCACCTCTCCTTTTCTGTAGGCAGGGCTATGGCTCTGCGCATGCGCGCTGCGCACAGGGCGCGTTAACGGCAGCAGTGCGGGGAGCGGCGCGAGACGGGCGGATCGGGAAACCCGCGTTCCTCTGCAAAATACGGGGAGAAAAAGAAACGGAGCGGAAACGGAGCTCGGCTGTGTGTTCGCGCTGCCCGCTCCGGCCATGCTGACCGCGCGACCATGTACTACTACTGTAGACGGGCTACAATGAGCGCCGCCGGGCCTGGGCTGGAGGGCTGCTGCGGGGGAGGCGACGGCGGCGGCGGCGGAGGAGCAGGAGCAGGGGGAGGTGGAGGAGAAGGAGGCTGCTGCGGGCGGCTGGTGAACGGAACCCGCGGCTCTGAGCGGGAGAGCGTGGTGGCGGAGGCCCGGGACGACACGACGCTACGGAGGAAGGCACGCAAGGACGGATTGTTGGCGAACGGCGCCGCCGCTGTTGCGGACGTCACGCGGGAGGGAGGCGAGGAAAGCGAGGGCGCGAGGAAAAAGAGGTGCTGCTGCGGACTCGGTCGCGTGGGGATCGATCAGAGCGGAGGACGGAGCCGCGGGAGCGAGAGGACTGCGATGAGGACGACGACGACGGTGAGTAGGAGGGATGTGAAGCCTCGAGCGATACAAGGGGTCGTGGAATAAACTAGCTGTAATGAATTCCGTTGTAACTGATATTACTCTGTGTTGTTTCATTAGCTTTTCTCAGGGGGTCAGGGATTTCTGGCTGCCTGTGACGGCCGACCGGAGCCCACGGCATGCAAGCGGCGTGCGTGCGCTTTCACGCGCACCGCCAAGAGGGTGTGCTGCGGCAGCTCAGACGGAGAAGGGGAGGCTGGTGCGCGCACACGGCGCAGTGGAGGCTCCTGCGTGCCGAGTCCGCCCGGCGAGGCGAAGGCGAACGGGAACGGAACGGCCCGAGGACGCGTGAGGCTGTACCGGGTGCGCTCATACCTGGCCACTACCATGGGCCACCACAATGGGATGAGTGGAGACGATGGACCTCAGGTGGACATTCGGGAGAACTTGGAGGCTCAGGTGCTGAACGGAGCACTCTGGGCGAACGGTGAGCACCCCGCTGAGCGGGGCGGTCCCAGGTCAGCAGTGGCCCGGGTGGAGGAGGCGAAGGGTGAGGCCGGACGGCGGCAGGTGGAGCTGGAAGAGCGCACGGACAGACTGTGGCGGCGACTGCAGGCTGTGCAAGTGAAGCAGGTGGAGAGGCACATCGCACAGCAGCTGGGTGGGCTGCAAAGGAGGGCCACCGGGCGACGGAGCTCATTAGAGCTGAGCAGACTGGCACGGAGCTGTGGAGAGGTCCTGCGCACGGCTGGGGGTGCGCTGGACTCGGACCACACGGCCAGCAGTTCTGGAGGGGGCAGTGACAGCGAGGAGGAGGAAGAAGGGAGGCGGCGTGTGTTACCAGCCTCTGTCAGATCAGTGTAAGTGCTGCCTTGCTGAACTGAAGTTGGCCTACAGAGGCCTAAACAGACAAGGCCAAGCATGGATGATACACATCTATGACTTCAGTCCTCCAGGTCATTGGATCACACCCCTAGCCTGTAGCACTAGAACAATGGATGATACATCAGCAGATCTGAGAACTATTGTACTAGACCAGTGGTTCACAGTGCTGGGCTTGAGGACCCCCTGTCTGACACACTGTAATGATTTCCCTGCTCCCAGCACACCTGATTTAGCTGTCGGTTGTTTACCTGTCTTAGATCTTATCTGACTTAAAGGGGTTGTGTTACAGCATGGAAAGCACAACGTGGAGTTTAAACTGTTCTCTGCCTCAACATACCTTAGCCAGCTTGTGAAGGGCTTGATGGTCATTTGATGAGATGGAGCTGGTGTGTTGGGGAAGGGAAATGTTGAAACTGTACTGGGCAGTAGGTTCCCAGCAGCAGGACTGAAGGGAAACTTTGGTCAAAATGAAAAGTTTAACCATTGCTACACCTGTTTTAAATGTGCCTACTCGTCACCTACGATGGTGCTGCAATAGTTTCTAGAACTTAATAATTCACATCCATATTTATTTGTGTCTACATCAGTGGCTATAGTTGTATGACATTTGACTAATGCATGCTGGGTGTTATAGTGAGCACACAAAGGATGCAAAATCATGAATTTTGGCAGAGTGATACAATTCTGTGCTACAGAATACTACATAAAATGACAAATAATATATTAAAAACTAGTTTTAGACAGAATACACTTCTAAGAAATGCTGGTTGGACTGTCAAGTTAGTTAGTTATTCGATATTAATGCACCTACAAGGGAAATTGGTAATTTTGCTGCCTAGATGTACCCAGTATGGGAGCAGCAGTACCTAGTAAGTCATGGGATTTGTTCCCATGACCTTTTTGGCTTACTCTCTCGCCATTAGCTACCAGATCGCCCCTGTTTTGGCAGATATTTGATGATGATGCCCCTTGGACAAGTGTTAAACAGTTTTTGGATTATATCAGTCACATTGACTTACTGCTAGCCCATTGGTTTCCAATCCAGTCCTCAGGGCCCCCTGAGACAGTCCACATTTTTCCTTCATCCCTATGTGTTGTGCCTTGGGTTGATGCAAAAATGTGTACCAGGTTGGGAACCACTGTACTAGACAAGTCAATGACATGGATAACTGAAAACTCACATAGACATAAATGTAACATTTTTCATAGATAGCCAATATATAGTCTAGATAAATGTGCCTAATTATGCTTTATACCACTGCAGCACCTTCCTTAGCTGTCCAGTTTTGTCCAATATTCGTAGCTCACATATTTCTGACAGTTGTTTCCCTTTTTCTCCACAGTCGTATGAGCAGAGAATGGCAGTGGATGAGGGACCGGGCGTGGCTGGGCAGCAGGTGGGTGTGGCTACAGGCTCAGGTGTCAGAGCTGGAATATCGGATTCGCGCGTTGACGGAACTCTACACGCACCTCAGACAGGGCAAGGTACTGCTGTGTTTTTAGCATTTTGCCTTTGTATTGATATGGTGGTAAAGGCCTTCTGAAAGTGATGGTTTGGCCTAAATTAATTTACACAGTTTTCCCTTTATCAAGATATCAGCTAAGAGACGTTTGGCTATTTTGAGTTGTCATGTAATTTTCAGTAAACATGCATATGTGGTTTTTGGCACTGTATAACATGGAAAAATGGACAAAGCATGTTGCATAGCCAAAAACAGTAGTACCAGGCATCTTAAAGCCTTAATTTTGCTTATAATTTTGTCCATTTTTATATGATCTATACAGTGTATATTATCTATACAGTGTCAAAGCACATAAGCAGTGCAGATGCTGTTTGTTTCCTGATGCTGTTTGAGGTAAATATGTGGCTCCAGTACACAACTAAAGCCACAAGCTTTGGAGAACAAGCCACTTGGCTGATCTAGTGCATTTGAGATAAGAGAAGAGAAAATTGTGTATTTTTTAATTTTTTAATTTCTGGCCAAACCAGCACTTTAAAAAAATCAATTATAAGATGTGTATTTGTGGCTTCACAGGTGAGAGCGACTCACTCAGTCCCTGAAACGCCCCTCAGAGCACCGAGACCCCTGCGTACATCCCTCGACTGCAGGTCAGGGTCACACAGTTGCACGTAAATGTGCATACTCTAACCTGCTTAGGTGTGTGGTCTGACTGTAGATATTGTCCATCAGGTCATCCACTGTTGGTGATCCTCTCAGGAAGATGGATGACGCCGCCCTCTCAACACTAACCCCACCTAGTCCACCTTCATCTGCGGCGCGGGTTCGCCCATTACTGCGGCAACGCCGGCACAGGCTTATCCGCCTAGAGGGGTGTGCTGCCCTTGGGTCAAAGGTGACTAGCTTGGAGGTCGCTTAGTTTAAAACTCCATTATTGGCCGGGGTTTTTGGGAATCAGTCTAATATAAATTCTGTAAATGAAGTGAGAAAATGAGAGATTGTATGATAGTCCTGAAAATGCTGTTAGCTTCATTGATTGCATTTATTTGGATCAGAAACCTGACATGTTAGCTGGCCCCAGTCTGCTCTGATGTGCTCCATTTGAGCTCTGCATCAAGCTAATCAGTGTTGCCTCAATCCTGGCTGTAGACTCTAGAGCTTTTACTGCTTCAGCACACCTGACTCGAGTCACTATCTAACAAACAAACCCTTCATGAGTTTAAATGTATGTGTGAGAGCAGAGAGAATGCAAAAATTTGTAGTGCCAGGCTTCTCTAGGGCCAGCAGTGGGAGATAATTAGGGATGCATAGATATGGAATTTCTGGGTCGATAACAATAACCAGTAATAAGCCAATAATGAACAGTTGTAAGCAAAAGTTAGGGTGTCCCTGGTCAAACGATATTTTCATTAAAGTGAAAATAAGTCAACACATCCTCTACAGTGAACACACTCCTGCACATTTTAATTTATAGTTACTGTTTATTTAACATATTGGGAAAACAAAGTGTGGTCTGACTTTAAACTCAGCAAATGAATAGAAATTGTGCAGTAAAAGTTGCTGAAAAATGCCATATTTAAGTTTGATCCATCTAAAGTGTGTGTAATCAAATATCCACGATCCATGGATATTGTCTTAAACACAGATTAACTGCATGTTTCATTACAGAGGGAGCATAATTAGACATTGAATTAAAAATGTTTTATTTGCTTTAGTTCAGTATGTGAAACTTTAAATAAAAATCACTGTGTTATTTTTTTTTTCATTTTTTTTTTAAGTGGTACTCTATTTTAACCTGTTCCTACTTATCAAGCCTCTCAGAATAAAATATTGTGATACTTATTTTTTTTATTGTGAAAATATGTATTTTAATAATATATTTTTGCCATATTGTCAGCTCTACTGTACATATTTTACATTATCTAGCAGATGATCTTATCCAGAGCAATGGAAGGTGAATGTAACATTATGAGTCTTGCCCAAGCAAGACTAGATCAGTGACATTCTCCAAACGATGAATTGAATCTCCAGTTTTCTGCATGTTGAGCAGTGCATCGTTCCTATCAATGTATCCATACTGTGTCCATCGGTCTGTCTGTACTATTCACCAGTAGAAATAACACTCACTGATATTGCCTGGGGTCTTTCTTTTTTTCCCTCTCTGTTAGCCCATGACCTTGCCTTGCTGCTGCGTGCCCCCAACAGTGTGTGTCTTATGTGGTGCTGCTCCCCCAGCTGAGAAGGAGAAACGTGCGTGGATGCGTCAGAAAGAGCTGGATCCGTGTGTTCATTCTGTTCTCTCCATGCCCTCAGGTACGCTGATCACATAGACAAGCTGCCAGTACTTTTTGGTGCTAAATTCAAATCATTATGTGTCTGTAAAATAGGTGCCAATTATGAGATGTGAATATATTATTGGGTGAATATTGCTGTAGCTAGGCATTCAAATCAAATAGAGTAAAGAAGGCGTCATAAACTTCCTACAGATGAACAGTGTCAAAAAGAGAACTATTACTAAAACATGTTACAAATGATGTGATAATATTTTGTGGCCGCTTGCCATAAAACACTGAGTTTTCGAGGTGGACAGCATGGAGGGTGACGCGTATCATGCTCGAAGCTTCAGCAGTGTCTTTTTGTGACCGGTGCTGTCTACTTTGCAGATTTTCCTCTTGCGTTACATTGTGGGACGCCCCCGCTGGCCGGGCCTCAGTCACACAGTGCCGTGCGGTGGACGAGCATTGCAGCGTCCTCGTGGTTGAGTAGGCGGGGTCAGGGCCCTCAGAGGGCGGGGCGAGCAAGACGAAGGCTGGTGTGTCCTCGGCCACCAAATGCACTGCCACTTTCGTTCAACACGACCAGTAAGAAAAGTTTGTAAATTCTGATCTGTTCCCTACAGATTATTTCTGTAAGCTATTTACTATTGTTTAGTTAAACAATTCATCAAAGCAGTGTTTTTTTTTTTTTAATTGGCACAAGTAAAAAAAATGAGGATTTGCATAGAAAGTACAACCAGTATAGGAAAAAACAACATAAAATAAGAGAAATAAATAGGATTAACAAATAAAACAAGAATAATGATAAGGTACCTAAAGAAATAGTAAAACCATAACATAATCACACTTTTGGTGTTATAGCTAAACTTTCTGTGTGTATAAGATGAAAAGAGTTTGCAGCAAATAATTTAACACTGTCCAAAGAAAAACAAATATTTCCAAAATAGGAGCTTTACAGGAGAGGGAAAAACATATTTACTCTTAATGTAAAGTGATTATATTTCAAGCAGTTTTTGAGCATTTCTATTGGTCTATTTAACATGAAAATTTCACACAACGTAAAGGGTAGTTGCTGTGCTCAAAAGATGTCGAAAATAAAAAATGCTTAAAATGGAGGTACCTTTTTTTCCAGACAGATAAACTCTATAATAATCCAGAAATGTGAGGAGTGTTTCACCTCTGAGTGCTTTTTGAATGAAGCACAGTACAGGAAAGCAATTTGGCACAGAGCTTATTTATTATGTATCACTCTTAAAGGAGTAGTAAAAGAAATAGCCAAACAAATATTATAAGGAAAAAAATGATAACAATGTAAAATATGGGCCCTTTTTTTTTTTAAGTGATGTTACGGATGACTAATAGACTTACTTGACTAATTGTTCAATCTACAGCAAGGGATGACGCTATCGTGCACATTAGCACTGTTTGACAAAAAACACGGTTCTTTCCAGGTGGTTCCAACTGCAGGATTCAGAGAGGAGTGGTCAGCCCAGGCTTCTTTCCTCAGCGAGCCTCTGATCTTTCCCCTCTGCCTGCCATGCCCCCAGCCACAGACACACCCACACAGGTCAGTCTCGAAGAGGAAATGAAGAGGAAAAACACAGAATGCTCTTATATTGAATAGCTCTTTCAGCTGTGATTGAATCTCTGTCTTTCATCCTTTCTGTTGCAGCCCTTGCGGAGGAGGAGAGGGGAGAGCTCATTTGACATTGATAACTTGGTAATGCCTCTGGGCCTGGCTGGACTAGGTGCAAGAGTGCAGAGACTTCAGTACAAAGAGATTATCACCCCCAGGTAAAATGATTAATAGAGAGTTATTATACATATGTGAATAGGAAATCCAGTTTTAACTTACTCAACAACTAAAAGTCTGACACAGTTGACAGGCTTTATTACATTGATGGCAGACCATGTACATTTTAAGTGAGGTGAACTCAAAGTTATGAAAAGTGCTGTAGTTGCAGGGAATGGCATACGGGCCCATTTGTTTCTGGCTGTGTAAGGAATGTCATTATTTCACACACTTTATAGTATGAGCTTGTTGGACATCCAATTCCAAAAGCATGGACATTAGTATGGAATTGCGTCCCCCTTTGTGGGTATAACAGCCTCCCCTCTCCTGGGAGACTTTCCACAAGATTTTGGTGTGTGTCTAATGAATTTTGTGCCCATTCAGTCAAAAAAGCATTGGTGTGGTCAGGCACTGATGTTGGATGAGAAGGCCTGGCTCACAATCAACATCCCAATTCAACCCAAAGGTGTTCAGTGGGGTTGAGGTCAGGGATCTGTGAAGGCCCTGGAGTACCTTCACACCAAACCCAGCAAACCATGTCTTTATTGACCTTGCTTTGTGCACATGGACACAGTCATGCTGGAACAGGAAAGGGCCTTCCCCAAATTGTCACTGACTGGCCACATCATTAAGTAGTCCTACACCTCCTTGAATCTTCCCTCTTTGTCCATTTTTTCAGCTCCACTTACCATATAGGCGCACTTTGTAGTTCATAATTATAAACTGTAGTCTGTTTCTTTTTAACTTTGTTCCTAAATGGGCAGGACCCCCACAGGACCAGCACCGAACAGGTATTATTTGGGTGGTGGATCTATCTCACCACTGCCGTGACACTAATGTGGTGATGGTGTGTTGATGTGTGTTGCGCTGGTACAAGTGGATCAGACGCAGCAATCAGTGTATATTTGTCTTAGCATTAATATTTCCCTTCAATGAAAGGGTCCAAGCCCAAACCCTGAAAAACAGTCCCAGACTATTATTCCTTTTCCACCAATGTTTATTGTAGCCACCATGCATTCTGATATGTAGCATTCTCCTGGTGTTCACCAAACCTAGATCCATCCCTCAGGCTGCCAGATAGTGAAATGTGATTCATCACTCCAGAGAAACTTGCTTCCACTGCTCCAGAGTCCAGTGGTGGTGTGCTTTTAACCACTCCAGTCGACGCTTCGCATTGCACATATTGATCTTAGGCTTGTGTGCAGCTGCTCAGCATGGAAACCCATTTTATAAAGCTTGTGCGCATGTTGCTTGCAGAGGCAGTTGCTTCCCTTTCAAAAATAGTAGGACTTACAGTTGACCAGGGCAGATCTAGCAGGGCAGAAATTTCACAAACTGACTTGTGGCAATGGTGGCATCCTATAATAGTGCTACGTTTAAAGTCATTGAGCTTTTTAGTATGACCTACACTCCTGCCAATGTTTATGCAGATTGAATGTCTATATGCTTGGTTTTATACACCTTTTAGGAATGAACGTGGCTGAAACACCTGAACTCAATAATTAGGAGGGGTGTCCATGTACTTTTGGCCATATAGTGTACCTTATAAACTGGATAGAACAAAAGGAAAAAAGTATGTTCACCCACTATGGCATTTTACTGTTTGTAAATCAGTAAACTACTCCAACACACAATATATCTGTACTGTACAGGTTCATTTTGTTCCTCAGGTTCAAACAATGTAATTGTACCCTCAAAGGTAAAACAGTGGTTTTAAGGTTTAACTGTGTACCTTAAATATATTTTTTCTGGAGAAAGGTGTGTTTTTGTATCTTGTATGTTTTTTTTTTTTTGTTTTTTTTTAAACAGAACTACAGAACAAAATGCTTGGAGTCAAGACAGGGTGTGTAGAGTCAATGCAATTTTAAAAAATGTCATTTCGACAATTATTTTCTAACTAAAGGTACTGGAGACATACCTATGAGGGTACTACCCAAATGATACATTAGTACCTTTTTTCTGAGAGTGTATGACAGAGATATTATGATCAAAGTAAGCCCAAGTGCTTTGGAAATTGCATAGACATGCTTACATTGCATCTTGCACTGTGACATGTGAAACAAACAAAATCACGTGGTGGTATATAGAAAATCACAGAGGACGTTCAGAGGTATTGTCTACGTAAAGTTTGTGATTACCAAATGAATCTGAAGAAAAAAAGACCATAAATATACCATATATATATTAAATATATATATATTAAATAAATATACCAAGTCTTGTAATAAGACTGAATGAAATCAGACATGATATTGATCCATAAACAGTTGGGAGTTTGGAGGTAAGCCATAAATAACAAGCTAGTGGGCCACACAGAGTGAAAAAAAATAATGTTATTAACTGGTAACAGAGGATTTCAGAATAAGAATAATTACATTTTCGGTTGTGTTTTTTGTTCCTAGCACAGTACTGTTCCTTTCTAATTTGTGATTTGATCATTTCAATTGTGCAAATGAAGAGTTTCATTCCAAAATGCTGTATATTCGTTTGTAACAATTTTGGATGTAACACATTTTTGAGAATAACAGCTGATGTATAATGGAAAACAGTTTTTTATTTCTCCATTGGAGGTGGTATTATTCATAATATGTTCTTGATATTTTTTTAATGTGGAAAGCCTACTCCCAACAATGTATATCATGGAAAAAAAAAATCTTGAAAGTAGTCTACAGTGCATTTTGGAATGAATTGCTTCAAATAATCCTTGTAAGAAATCAGGATCTGTGTAAGCCATTGACATTTGGTAATCCAATGCATAGCCTCTTTATTTTAAAGGTCTAATACCAGGGGCTTGGGTGTAAGTAGTGCAGCTGTTGCAATCTGCCTTACACAGTATAGGGTGATTCTCCAAATTCCACCCCTTTTGACAGGCCTACTTGTATAAAAACTAATGTTTTTTTAAGCTGTATGTTTTCATAATTCACATTGTCCTGTGTTGCCTCTACAGCTGGAGAGAGCTGGACTCTGTCTGTGGGGCCTCTGAGGCACTGGTGGATGCAGGCAGTCACTCTGAAAACCACTCTGATGTGCCATACCAGCCTGATGGGGACAGACCTGAAGACGAAAGTGAGGTAGGTGCACATTTCCCAGCTTTAGTTTGAGTAGTACACAGTTTGAACACAGTTGTAAAAAAACATCTCAGACTAGAATTGCACTGAAGTAAGAGGCATGAATGACCTTAGCTGCCCTTTAGAACACTCTTAAAACTGTTATTAAGAAGTAAATAAGGTGCTACCACCCTCTCTCTGCCCAGAACAGGTTGTTCCTCTAAAAGCACCAAAGAAAGATAATCAGGGAGGTCTTTGAAAGCTGATAAAGGTCTCTGTTAGCATTGATCAAGTTTATCTTTTGTGTGTGTATGTGTATATATATGTATGTGTGTGTATATATACATATATATATATATATATATGCGCATATGCAGTAACTTTTAATAAATTTTGGATTTTTGGATCGAACTCATCTACAGGCCATAGTTCCATGTTATTAAGTTATGATTCCCCTGTTCATACTTAAGACAGTATTGTTGCTACTGTAGGCTATAATTTAAAATTGCAGCTCTTGTGATATTAAAATATTTCAGCCTCTCTAGCAGTGATTCTTACTCTTGGTCCTGGAGTACCGCTGTCCTGCATGTTGTATTTTCCCCACTCTCACTACTACTTCAGTTCTTGGCGGTCTTGTTAATAAGTTCATTGCATCAGGCACGTTAGGAGCAGGTCAAGGTTAGGTCTCTAAAATGTGCACAGTAGTGGTACTCTAGGACCAGGATTGGGAACTACAGCACTACCATATAGCATTATTGTTTGTAAAATTACACATATAACTAACAGCTGAAAAGAAGGTGAACATTTGTTGCTCTACAGCTGATTTGCCTAAACTGGAATCTGATAATGTTGATTTCAAACATGGAGAAACAAATGTTATGTATTGTAATTGCATATATTTAATTAAATGTTAATTTACTCACTGGATACCTGCTACATCATGGCTGTATATAAATTTCGAGCAATACAAACAAAGATAGCAATAAAAAGCGCTGCATACATTTCATTTGTGTTTTGTAGGGATGCACAACTATATCAGAATCATATCCATATGGGCAGAAATTTACTTAAAAAATGTATAATGTATAATGTAAAATGTTTCGATTTACTGATATTTTAATTGATAATGTGTTTATTATATTCAGGAAGAGCAGAACATTGAGGTGACGCTGGGCTATTGTGCTAAAATGTCTGCATTTTATTAATTTTACTTGAATGATAACCCAATGATAAGTGTAATACTATAGAAATTAATATTACTTTTCACTGTAATGTCAATCCAGGGGCATCTAGACCCAATTTCTACATTTTATAAATATTTATGTATTGGCATCTGTGATGGACTGGCGACCTGTCCAGGGTGTATCCTGCCTTCCCGCCCAATGACCACTGGGATAGGCTCCAGCTCCCCCCCGCGACCCAGAAGGATAAGGGGTTTAGAAAGTGTGCGTGTGTGTATTGGCATCGGCAGATACGTACATATATCAGCATTGGCTCACAATTCCCATATCTGTGCATCCCTAGTATTTCGCTTGTGTGGTTCTTCTCATAACGTCATTGTCGGCTGACCTTTTTTGGTCAATTAGGGGACCTTAAAGCACTCAGAGCACCCCTTCTGAATATGCCTGGTTAGTCTCACAGGTATTATTGGTAACAAAAGTGTTTTCCACCTAATGAGATAACAAGGAGTACTTGTGCAGATTTAATATCAAGCATTTAATGGCTATGAGAATGTCTTCTTTTCTTTAAAATGTTAATGCACAAACATGGTACTTGCGATATTAACAGGAAAAAATTCATAGGAATGCACAAGTGCTTTCAGTCACTTGATATTTGGAGCTCTTTAAAAACCTCAAGCCCTGTTTGTATGTGTGTGTGTAGGTGGAGGATCTCTCTGATGTTGTGTTTCTGAAGCGGCATGCTGTTTGCGAGAGCAGAGAGAGGAGCCGCTGGGGGAGCTGGGCTCAAAGACGCCGCCGGGGCAGGTGTGTGTACAAGTTTCACAATACCTGAAGACATTTAAGTGATACACAGTACATATCCCGACATTTTTCTTGATGATGTGGAATGGACACAGTGCAACAACAGCAAAACAGTAGTGCGACACTTGCAATTCAAAAAATTGCATGAAAATTGACTACAGTTTCAGTGCTTCACACACTGTGCATCATTACATTACATGCTCTCTTGAACACCCACATTATCTGCTTTTGAACTTATGGTCTCCAAACAATAAGGCAAAAACCTTAAACAGCACTGCCAGCTGGAAAACCTATTAACATTACAATTGCTCAGTTCTGATTTTTTTGCTCAGATCCAATCTTTCTGCCTTGATGGTTTCAATAGTGTTTGATTTTTGACGTGCAAGATAGCTCTAACATACACCAGTGAACCACTCACAAGTGAATCAAATAGCATTGATTATCTCCTAACAACGACATGACAAAGTCTTGGATATTAGATGATAAGCAAACAGTCAGTTCTTGTAGTCCACATGTTGAATGTGGGAGAAATGGGCAGACATGAAGACCTGAGCCACTTTGACCAGGGGCCAAATCGTTATGGCCAGACAATTGGGTCAGAAAAATGTCCGAAATGTCAAGGGACAAAGCACAAACTGGCTACAGAGTCAGTCAGTCAAGGCTCAACGAGTCAAGTGCTCATGCTATCCGCTGTACACTGTGGAGAGTGGCTCCAGTGGGCACACAAGCATTAGAACTGGACCTTGGAGCAACGTGAGAAAAGTCGTGTTTTCTTTTAACTTCACTTGAATGCCTGGGTACGTGAGCGGTGTTTACCTGAGGGAGTGATGGCACCAGGATGCACTGTGGGAAGAAGACAAGCCGGTGGATGTAGTGTGATGCTGCGGGTGACTTTCTGCTCGGAAACTCTAGATCTGGGCCTTCATGCGGATGGCAATTTGACACATGCCACCTAGGAAGTGGCATCTTTCAGCAGGATAATGCCCTGCCACACTGCACAGTTGCACACTTTGATTGAGAATGGTTCAAGGACCATGATGAAGAGTTCAAGGTGCTGCCCTGGCCTCCAAATTCCCCAGATCTCAGTCATATCGAGCATCTGTGGGATGTGCTGGAACAAGTCAGGATCTGCTGCTAACAGCTTGGTGCCAGATATCACAAGGCACCTTCAGAGGTCTTGTAGAGCCATGCTGCGGCAGATTGGAGATGTTTTGGAGTCGCATAGAGGACCAACAGCATGCTAGAAAGTGCAGCTATAGCACATAGTAAGGTTCATAGAAAAGCACAGATAAACATCAAATTCAAGCTCATTGTACCCTCTGCTCAGATAGAATTAATGGAATAAAATCTAGTAGGACAAGTCCTGATCTCAAACATTATTTGTTCTGAACAGCTCTCTGCTTTTCATGATTAGGATGAAGAGAGAGAGAAAAAAGGCCAAATACTTTGGTTTTGTAGCTATTACTGGCACTAACAAATTAGCTGCTCCTTCGAACACAGGAAGTTGGCCGTAATACATGCATTCTCTGTTTAGATTAAAAAAAAAACAAAACAGACAACAAAAAAACACATTTCATGAAGGTTGCATGGGCACAAGTCAGATATATGTCTGAAAGTGTTCCCACAGCTCTGAAAATCTGATTTGTGCCCATTCAGCCTGTTAACGTGCACATAACTAGCCTACCTTCACTTTGCAGCCCAAATCCAATTTTTTTTTTTTTCCTTCATATGTGAGACAGATTAGTCTTTTGTGTAACAGCGTGAACTGAAAAACACACACTGAATTCTGAGTTTCAGTTCTATGATTCGGGTCTCTTTCATATGTGGCACTGAAATGTATCTGATGCGGGATGGTAATGTGACTTCTGTCTGAACAGCAAGAGCAGAATTCATGTGACATTTCCATCAATCCAACCTGCCAACCAGGGCAATTTTTGTCAGATGCTTAATGGAAGAGTCTTTAAAATACATTACTATGGTAACACTTTATGCCCTCATTTGATTTGAGGAGCAGCGGACAAGTGGGAATAGTGTAAATAGATAAGCATGGCGCTTTCTAACGAGAAGAATCAAACTAATAGCTATTCAAAATCAGACAGTCAAAAGTCCCTCACCTAGATCAACTCTCTTTATCCAGTGTATGTTGCTGTTTTGGCACCGAGTTTAGCACTGGGTTTCGTTCTTTTTTGCGGCATGTAAACATAAAGAAACTTAGCCAACTTACTCTGTTTGTCAGCTTCCTCAAATAGAAAAGAATGGAAATTGACAATTTTACTCCTTTCTGTAATCTGTAAATGATAACCACCACACAGTAAATTCAGATTCGGGCAATTTATTTTGGATTTGAGACACTTTTACCAGCAGTGTGAACACAGCCATAGTCACTTTTTAATGAAAAATGCAGTTGGTCAGTGTTGTGGTTGCACTGAAAATACCCACCATGTGCTTATAAGAAAAGTTTACTGTAACAGTTTTTGTGCCAAAAATATCGTCATATTGCCCATTTCTTTGTTTACTCACAGTAAATCCGTTCACCCGACTTTAGCACCGTAATTTATTTGTCAGATCCTCCTCCTCCTATCATGGGGATGGGAAGAGCTCCAGGGGGTTAGAGCAGGCCCCCTGCTCACCAGACACCAGGCAGGGGCACTTTGCTGAGGGAGACACCTCGCCATGTAGCCCCCTGTGCTCTGGAGCAGACGATCCCTTCTACCAGATGGAGGATGAACAGCAGGTGTGTGTGTGTGTCTGAGTGCGTGCGTGTGTGTGTGCATGCCTGAGTACTTAATGTTCCATTCACCTCCCTCATTATAGCTGTTACCATGGTGATTATGAAGCTGAAAGGACTTGATGTTTTTTCAAATCTGATTTGGGCCAGATTTATCTCTTTTTTTCTTCCCCCAATGTTAATCAACCTAATTGTTTTGAATTTCTTAACGTGAGAAAAGCTGTCATAAATCTTCCTTTATGCACCTTTTGTGCACATGGTGAGAGAGTCTGTGTGCTTTTTACATATTGAAGTGGGAGTTAATGACGACGCCTCCTAATTGACCCATCTAAGCTCTGCCCACAAAGGCGTTCTTTTGTAGGCGCTGTTATCAAAATGGACAAGTTTTACTTGATGTTGGCACAAATTCCTCCTGGACAGAAATTGTGGCACACAAGTTTTATCAAAATATGTGCATTCAGAATATGTTAGTAATTTGTATTTTGCATGAATACATGTGAAAGGTCACAATCTTAGGGTAGGTTAGGTGTAGGTTTATTTTTGTTGTGTAATCAGGGTTGTTAGGGATAAATATGTGACCGATAGGCTAAGCAGAAAATGTTAACATTTTAAGGCAACTTCAGTTTTGTAGTTTAAGTTTATGGATATAGCTTAAGGCAGCACATTGTTGCATGTTCTGTTGGATGATGGAGGGCAAATATGATGAGCAAAAAATGTTGCCTACTGATTCCTTTGCCTGTTTTCACATTTGGCCCAAATGCCTATATTCAGAACCAGGGTCAGTTCAGTTTAACCTACATTTAGACTTGTAAATGTATTGAGGTACAGACCTCATTTTTGATGTAGCTGAGAAAAATCTAAGCATCTCATAATGTAGATAATAAACCAAATTAAAATAGTTCGGCCAAAAGTACAACGATGAGAAATAATGAAACCTTGGAAGTAATGATAAAAATGATCAATAAAAATAGACCAAACAATAAAAACACAAATAAAACAATAAGAACATTTTCAAACAGTAAACAATTACAGTAATAATAATACTACTACTAATAATAATAAGGCTCTAGGATAAGTGAGTTGAGCTTAAATTATGGAAAATTCTTCTGAACACTGGATCGATTGCACACTTCGAAACATTGCTGTGTTTGAGTGCACAATTTTTTGCAAAATGGTAGACAGCATGTTCATTGTTTTATTATTTTGTTTAGGTTTTTTGTGCGGTATTAAGACTCAAATGGTGATGAATGGTGGTTATTGGCATGTCCTCGTGCAGTAACACCTGCAAAAGAGCAGCCGTTCTTACTTGAAGAGCTGGCGTGAGATGGTTTTTTTTTTTATTTATTTACCCCCCCCCCTTTCTTTTTCACAGTGGTCTCTGGACAGGCACTCAGACCACTTTCCGTCTCCTTCCACACCACTATGAAAACTTAAAATAGGCAGTAACGTGACAAGTGAACTGTTTTCAGGAGGACAAGGATCTGTTCTATGGACTTCACTCATGCTCGAAAACATCTGAATATTACAGCCAGGTGTGTTGGTTCTCAACTCTTCAGTGTAGATCTCCAGGGCCAAGACTGAGTGCCCCTGCCTTAGAGTAACTTCAGCCATGCTACAATAGCTGATTGTGTAGCCCATGGATTCTTAACCTTTTCCACCTCAAGGTCCATCTGTTTATCACTGGAAAGCATGTAGGCTCACAGTTTGAGTAAAAAAAAAAATTCTGGGAAATTTATAACACAGCCTTTGTTTGGGTGCCACAATATGCCACATTTATCATTGACAGTATCAACCAATTGGGTAAAGGCAAACTTGTTCTGTATCAGAAATCAGGTGGAATGGTGTTAAATTAAGACATTCATACAAAACATTTTTACAGCAGTTGTTCACTATTGGAAAATTGAAATTTTTAGGGGAGTATATTTTGCTTTTAGAGCAAAAGGGCAAGAAATAGATAAAGCTGTTTTGTGTGCCATTTTTGTAGGGCTTTAAGTCCATTTATTTTCACTGATTTTTATGACAATGCCATCATTGGCACACTACAGACTTCTGACCCCCCCCCTCAGTATTGGCCCGAGGACCACCAGAGGGTGCTTACCTGGCTAGCAGTATTAAAACAGCCAAAGCTGGTTAACTAAAACCTTCTTTTACATTGCTTAGCCTGTCAACTACATTTATAATTTAGATGTCTCTTTTAATAGTTTGACCTTTCACTTACATACAAAATGACTAATAATAATAATAATAATAATAATAATTTGAATTTTACACACTCTAAATTTACATATTTTGACAACATCTATGCTACAATTTCTCATTAGGGTCAGTGGAATCATTGTCAGTGTTCTGTAAAGCTTGTCCAACATCTCCAATAGTACCAGAGCATGGATAACTTAGTTCTAATGGAATTTAAGGTCGACTGAAATAATTTTAGATTTTTGTTTTAGACTGTGCAGCCATGGGAGTGCAGGTCGTTCCCCCTGCTGGAGGCGGAGCTCCGGTGGCTGCAGAACGATGAGGAGCTGGATCCCGAAGAGGATGCATGTGCGGCCAGCGGCCGCAGCCAGAGCACGGACTCAGGCATCTCAGTGGGCAGCCTGGAGCTCTCGCCGAGGACCCCTCAACCACATCAGCAGCAGTTGGGCACGGAGCCTGCTGGCCCGCAAACGCTTTCCTGCAAACCAGCCGCCCCAACAACTCAGGATTCTGCCTCTCTCCTACCTTCCTTAGCCCCAGCCCTCTTGCTTTCCTCCCAGCTACACTCTCCCATCTCACCTCGTGCCCATACCGCTATGTCCAGTCACCGAGTCAGCAGGACCGATGCCAGTCCATTCTGAATCAGATTGGAGAAGGCACCTATGTATGAAATAGCCTTTTGCAACCTATCCCATTTATTGCAATATTAAAACATCTTATTTAACCACTCAGCCATACTAATTAAACCAACCATCACTAGTACTGCTGTCCTGTTATTATTTTTATTTATTTATTTTTTTTTCACCCTGCTCTTGAACATTCTGGACCCTCCTATCACATCAACCTTAATGAGCTTGTTCCTGCAACCCTTGTCTATGTCCAGGTGAATCACCACCTGCTCATTCCACCCAAATCGTTTTCACCAAAACCACTTTCATTCTTTTGTACTCAGCTGTTCTTATAACTCTAGTTCTAACATAACCTCCTTATTCCCTTAAAAACAAATTTCTTCCTAGATAAAACTGCACTCCCTACCTGCCAAACTTCATACCCAAGCTTCTTCCTTGTCCACTCTCCTCTCATTCACCTTCTTCAATCCTCCTTGTTCTATATGGGATAGATGGGCTGACTCGTTCACTTGCTTGAAGATGTTTTCTGTTGTTCGTTCATTTTCCGGACCTGTCTAAAGCATTATTCTCCCTCTCTCGCTGTTGAGTTGATCTAAACATGAGAATGTCTTGTTAACGTTTCGTGTTTCCATTGCTCTCATTCTGTATGTCAAGCACTAGTTTCCTGGAGCAAGAGATTTGCCCACAACACAAGGACAAACTTAACAACATACAGCATAAATGCACTACATATTACCCATCTTGTCTTACGTGACCTTTTCTTGATCATACCGTTGAATACATGTATTCCATACAGATGTATACATATTGTTACTCACAACTTTGAGATATATATATATATATATAAAAATAAATGTGTGTATATATCTCTTGACTCCGCATCAAACGTTGTGACCGTCGGTAGCCCCATGTCTGTTTGAATCAGCTCAACACAAGATGTATGCCTTTGTTCTGTGAAGTATAACGTGTGTATACACATAAACAGCGTATACGTGTGTCTGTCCCTGTGTGTGTTTTGGACAGGTCCGTTACACTGCTGAATCAAGGGTGTGCCAGTTAAAAAAAAGTCATTTTGTAGAAAAAGTACACAAGAAAAAAATGGAACTATGACTTGAAACACATTGCTCCCATTGCAAAGCTGAAATAAAGGGGGGAAAAAAGATTTTTCTTTTTTTTTTTTTTTCCGCATCAAGTGTTTTCATTCATCAATAAATCATTTAGGTCTGAGTGTTGTGGGCAGTTGCAGGGGTAGTAAACATGGACAAAGTACAGAGAAACTGAAATATGTGTCAAAATCTACTTCAGTTGAAAGTAGATGTGTGGAGCCAGATAACTTAAGCCCAAAGTTAAATCTGTCCAATAGGGAAAAAAAGCTAAGGGACAATCTTCAGCTTAAGTTATCTGGCTAACATAGTAACCATGCTTTATGAACTCTGACCAATTACTTATATATTTTCCACCCATGTAAATATGGTTTACTAAATGTTGCGTAGGACTAGAGAAAACTATATTAGCAGAACACTCTGCTCATGGTAGTCAGTTGCAAAATTCAACAAAAATACTTTTCTCTCTTTTGGAAAGATAGCTCACTGTCACTTCAAGGGGTGTACTGAAGAGGATAAGAATTCCAACTTGAGCAAAGCACAATATATCAAATGAATATAAATTCTCGCAGAATAAGTGTTCATAAATTTAAGGATACAGTTAAGTATGTAATACACAATGTCATTCAGAGTGCTTTGGTGCGAACTGCTCTATTCTAAATTCAGGTTTGTTCATAGTGCTGGTGATAAGAACCAGACGTCTTAAGATTTTAATGCTTTTAAAAGCCGGCTCACTGAATGCATTTGCACGAAATTGTTACAAATACGCTGTCTACGATAAGGTTTTGGCCTAATGCGTATTTCATGTCGGAGAGGTGCATGCTTGTCCTACTATTTACGATTACCTACATTACATACAAACTCTGAAGACATGTTTAGTTTAACTGGTTGTTTTGGATAGTAAATGAAATAAATTCATTTATTACTATAAACGATACATTCTCTTCAGATTTGAAAAATCTGTGATGTTCATCTTTAAGCTTCTCCGGGACGTTCTGCCGTGTCCTGGCGGAGTGAGGCCTGCAGATGTCGCTAACGCAGCTGGGCGGTTTGGCTTCAGCCAGTGACAAACCAGCGACAGAGTGAGTGCAGGAAGCAAGCAAAGCAGCGAAAATGGTCACTAAATATTAACTTTTGCGCGCTTTTATTAATTAAAGTAAGAAAAACGCATCTGTAGAGACGTTTAAAACGTTAGGAATGTCTCAGTGGTGTCGAAGGTAACGTTACGCACCTGAGGTGAGCGTTTTAACCACTGAGGGTGGTTAGCTAGCAGGCTAGTCATGTGCTAATGCCTAAGTTAACGTTATTTACATTTCGAGGCAAACAGTGTTTATTTACATGTTGGAACCTAACCTATTCGTAGCAGTCTACTAAATGTCGGGCTTTTAACGAGGATTTTTATATATACTGGTTTAGGAATAAATTTAGCCTTTAGCTAACAAGGAGTTTAATTTGTTTTGAGAAGTTTTGAGAAACTAACGTAAACCTGACACTGAATAGAGCTTAAGTTATCCCTCTAGAGTTGAATAAATAATAGGAGTCCTAGCTTTGCCGTGAAGCAAGCAATATATTTAACTCTAACAGTGAAGCAATAGCTCACTAGAAACTGATGTTTCCATCTGTATTTTGAATCGAAGCAAGACCTTCTTAAGACCATCACTTAAACTAACGTTACTTAAACGTTGTAATGTCACTGTCAGTTTGTAGTAGCACTACTGTTCATGCACAGATATGAAAAAAAAACACCCACAAAAAGAATAGATATTGCAAAGAACAGATACTGACCATTTTCATAGTATTATTGTGCTCAGCTGTGGTTTGTTATTGAACTGTTCTGACCAAGTGTTTTTCCCTTCTTAGTACATTCTGCACCATGGGGGTACACGGCCTGGCAAGTTATGTGGAAGGAAATCGGCAGTTCTTCACTGACCTGAAGCTGAAAAACACCCACCTTGTAATTGACGGCTGCAGTCTGTACTTTCGATTATACTTCAGCTCTGGTTTGGACCAGGTGAGAGGTGGAGACTATGACTTATTTGCTGCTCTGGTGCGGCGTTTCTTTGCTGTGCTCTTAGAATGCAATGTTCGCCCGTTCGTAGTTTTAGATGGCGGGATGGACCAGACAGACAAGAAGTTCAAAACTCTACGTGAAAGAGCTGAGAGTAAGATCCGCGATGCTCATTCTCTCTCCCGAGGGTCACATGGCTGCGTCCTGCCCCTGCTGTCACGTGAAGTCTTCAGACAGGTCCTCTGTGATCTTGGCATTCCCTTGGTGCAGTGTATTTCTGAAGCTGATTTTGAGATCGCCTCTCTGGCCCATCAGTGGGGATGTCCAGTGCTGACCAATGACAGCGACTTCTATATCTTTGACTTGCATGGTGGCTACCTGCCCTTTGCGTTCTTTGAGTGGGAAAACATCTGCGGAAAGGGCCCGGAACGTTACATCCCTGCCCGTCGATTCACTGTTAACCGCTTTTGCTCACACTTTAACCACATGAACAAGCAGCTGCTGCCTCTGTTTGCTGTCATCACTGGTAATGACTACACACTTGCAAAGACTACGGAGATGTTCTTTAGCCGGGTGGAGTTACCGAGAGTGCCAAAAGGAAGGGGAAGTCATTCTAACCCTCGGATTGAGGGTCTGCTGCTCTGGCTGTCTCAGTTTCCTAATCCTGGGGATGCTCTAGAGGAAGTTCTGGAGATCCTGGGTGGGCAACGGAAAGGCAACCTGCGAACACAGCTTTCAGCGAGGATACAAGACTATCAGCTCCCTCCTAACAGCACCCTGGCCCGGTTCTTCTCTAGCAGTCAACCAGCACTGCTGGATATCCAGATGCTCCCAGCAGCACTGGTGTCCCAGCCAGATTGGCTTTTGAGGGGGGTCGCCTCAGGCAGGCTGCCCCCTCTGGTGCTAGATGTGCTAGTTCTCCAGAGAGCTCTTCTGATAGCTCAGGTAGAGAACAGTCGTCTGCCTAGTAGCCATGAAGTTTCACTGAGCATTCGCAAGGCTATTTATGGCTTACTCTTACTTGAGAGGGCAGTGCAGGCTAATGCTGGACAGGGGCAGAGGGGTAGAGGAAGAGGTGGCAAGGGGACAGGAGGCCAGAGTGGAGGATCACCAGGTTCCAGTTCCTTTTGTTTTGTTGAGGAATATGACAGGCTTGACCTTAATCTAAAGAAAACTCCAGTAGAGGCTCATCTACCCAGCACTCAGCCAAAACTGAAATTGGATACTTTAGACAAGGTAAGCTCAGATTGCAAATCACTGTGGAGAATTAATAGAAAAAGCAATGCATTTTCAAGTATGTTACCAAATATTTGTAATCAAGTAACATTTTGACAATTGATCAGTTTTAAAAAAATGTCAGTAAAAATTCGACTTAAAATTTGACTTAACCGAACAATAAACTAACCTTTCAGAAAGACAGTAAACACTGTAACATATAAATGGGTTTGTCCATGAGGCTGTGCCAGCTAATTATTGCAGATTCATTGAGGATCATTTATTTTTTTTAATTGAGCAGTTCAAGTAATTGTGACAGCCCTAGTTTGTATTAGCCTTTAGCATATGACATCTGCTGTATCTCCTGCAATACTCTCCTTATTATCATTCAGGTAGCAGTACCAGTCAGACTCAAGGTGCTGTTAGGAACTCTCGGGGTGATGGAGTATGTGCTGCAGTCCTTACCACCGCACCTGTGTCTGCCTGTGTGTGTGACATATTTCTGGATGAACTCTTCCAAACCAAAGCCAAGCCCCTCACTGCTTAAAAGCCTGCTGCTAGGGCTGGTGTATGGGGAGCTCTGTCGACGCAGGGCCATGACTGGAGGTAAGAAGAGCCGCACTATATAAATAAGTTGTATTGCATTGCTACATATCTCAGTCATGATATGCTTTGCGCTTTTTTTAAAACTGTGGAGCCTTGATTTAACACAGTTTGACCTGCATTATTTTGAACAAAATCATTTACATTGTAAATGAACTTGTCAAATCACCCACATATTGCAGACTTTGGTGGCTCTGTAAGCTGTGCAGTTTTACTCACTCCTTCTTACTTCTGCTGTTCTTAACTTTACAGATCCACTGTGCTCCTGTGCTGGTACTGCCTCTGTCTGTGAGCGATTGAGCCAACTGAGATTGAACTCTGGTCAAAAGAGGGGTCTAGACCTGGGTGTGGCTCACTCTCTCTGCCAATGGCAGTCTTGTATGTGGGCAGGAATTTATTTGAACCAGCTTTTGTGCTTCCCACTTTCTGAGCCTCACAGTGCCTGGTACTGTATAGTCTTAATTTCTTAACAATTAACATATTATTTAGTAAAATTAGCTTGTCAAAGTTATATTTATAGTGTTAATGTTTTTGCAGAGATATTTGAGTGTGCTGTCTTGCTTTTAATAGATAATTAAGCCATGAATTAAGACTTAAGCCATGACAATATAATTGTGTGTATATGTTGTATTCAAATGTTTCAATTATGTCACTATACAATACATATATGGGGATACAGTTTAATGAAACACATTTGGGTACTTCTCGGGTGTGTAAACATTAAGATAAGGACGTGAGTCTACATGTAGTAGTGGGATAACAGGCGATATACTCTCACTGAGAACTGTATTAGGACACCTCCTTGAAGCTAATCTCACTGTCCGTTTTATCAGCTCCACTTACCATATAGGTTTAGACTGTAGACCATCTGTATCTCTGCAAACTTTATTCCCCTTTTACCCTGTTCTTCAATGGTCAGGAACACCACTAAAAAGATATTACTTGGGTGGTGGATCATTCTTAGCACTGCAGTGACACTGACATGCTGGTGACATGTTAGTGTGTGTTGTGCAGGTGCGAGCGGATCAGAGAGTTTTTAAACACCTCAGTGTCACTGCTGGACTGCTGGTTTATATATATATATATATATATATATATATATATATATAAAATAAGTGCAAAGTGTGAATGCTCATCTGTTCTCTCTCTCTCTCTCTCTCTCTCTCTCTCTCTCTCTCTCTCTCTCTCAGGCTGTTTAGTGGCACTCTGTTACATGGCTTGGAAGCTGCACTTAGAGGAGGTCTGTCGGCTGAGTCTTTGCTGGCTGCTGCTCCTGCTGCCGTCCAGCTCTACTCCATCCTATTCAGTGCCATAATGGGCTTTTCTGGCCAAGGCCATGCTCCTCCTCGCCCTGCACCTTTACCAGCAGCAGGCAGTAGCAAGGGAAAGGGACGTGGTAAAAGGGGACGGAGAGGTGGTGGCAGGGGCAACAGAGGCAGAGGGGGAACGTCTCATGCCACTGGTTTGGATAACAGGTTTGGTATGCTAACCGTTGAGGATGACTGGGATGAAGACTAAAAAAGTGAGAGGAAAAAAGTTGTTACAAGGGAGGCTTATCAGAAGAAGTGAATTTTCAAACCATTCTCTGACTTCTCTGACCAGGGTAAAATGCCAGTTAACATTCTCTTCACACCCCTGAGATATGAAATGACCTGGTTAAATGCTCAGAAGGCACTCATATATAGTCCAGCATATGTAGTCAACATAAAACATACAACCTGTACAGCAGTTGCTCGACGTGTCAATGTCAAAGTACCATTACCCTTTTTTAAGGAAGACTTTAAACAAAAAACGAAGGGGTTTTGAAAAAGATTTATATGTCAGTGAGCGACAATGTATCATACCTGTTAGAGCAAAACACGGCAGCTGTCATTTACACTGTCAAATTTCATGATAAACAGACCAACAGAAGTGGTCCAAACTGTCCAAAACGATGTAGAATAAAATCTTGTTCTATTAACTCACTAAAGTTTTTTTTTTTTTTGTTTTGTTTTTTTTAACAGCAGTGATATAGGCTGTAAAAAGATCTCGAAAGTTATTAATACTCAAACCATCCCTTAAAAAGCAAAACTTGATTTTTATCATTGGCATGGCTTAATAAATAGTCTGTGCCTATATTTATATTAATGTGAGTGCTCTCCTCCACCTACTGGGGGGTTCTGTTTTAATGATTTAGGAGTGTTTTAGGTTGAGCAGCCATCATAGGCTTTTTCTTGGTTGATTGTGCCTGGTTACTTTGATACAAAAGCTGTATTTAGAGAGAATGCAGCAGCATAGACTGGTCTGTTCCTGAATCAGATTGCGAGAGAATGATTTGAAAATGAACATCTTTCTATAAGTCCTTCTTTTAATAATCTGAAAGTGGGACTTGGGAAGAGGGCTATGAGAGAAGCAGAAACAAATGAGGAAAGAACCGTTTAAAGAAGGACCTGAAATGACCAAAATGATTTCCAGTTTTAGTTAAGTCTACAGCTTGTCATATCAGGGAAATGTCTATCTTTGGTCCATGTGCCTATTACTTTAAAACACTTTATCGGGTTAGGTTAGAAAAAAATGCTTTTGCTCTGTTCTTACATGCAGTGTGCCTTTTATAAAGGCCAAAATTATTTTAAGCAAACTCTAATTTTATGGCAGCTAAAGGAAAATGGCTCTGTACCAGAGAGCTTGGCTTGCACTAATGCTGTGGAGCTGCTGTATCGTGCATGAGATGATCCTGTTATGATTCAACTTTTATACACTCTAATTTAGTTTTTTATTCAGATTTGTATGATGAACTTATGTTTTTGCTTATCTTGCCATCAAGTAGTGCAAAAAGGATGAGGAAGTAATGACTTATACTATTTTTATACTATCGCTGTGTGAATGATGCTGGTGTCTACAACTTACGTTTTTTATTTTTTCAGTAATTGTGGTAGATACTGTGACACGAGCTAATGTGACATCACTTTTGAGAAATGTGCCATGAGAACAGATGATTAGATGATGCACATTTTTTATATTTGATGTCTATTTGGTTTGTGGCTTCTAATTTCAGCCTGGTGATTGTATGGATCGTAGCTGGATCCTCTGTGGTAAACCACTTTTTTAACATCTCTTTACTATTGCAGTCAGGACAGTTTCAAATGCACATAACTGTACCCTTAAAGTGATGCTTTGTCCAAAAATCTAAAGTTTAAAAAAATGTCCATTACCCCAAATGTTGTTGGTAAATGAAGATGTGTCTGAAGTGTGTTTGCTTAGGCTTAGCTATGAAGCTAATGTAGCTAACAAGCAATAGAGGCGTTATAGCCACCAGCTTAGCAGCTTGCATGAACACTTTCAAGCTCCAGTGCAGAACTAAAAAAGGAAACTTTGGACATCAAACATGACGTGGCTGATCGACTATGTTTGGAGTAAGGAGAAAATTATATCAGTTGGATTCTTGACTGAAACATGGTTTTTAGTTTATAGAAACCCAAAGCTGACTTTTAATACTATATAGTCTATATAACTGTTTCACCAGGACAAATAAACGAAAAGAAAAATACATGTTTTATAAAGTTTTTGGAAAGATTAGTTTTGATTAGACATTTTCTAAGGATATTTATTGAATAATGTGAATGGTTGAGAATTCTTATATTGATCATTTCCTCTATTGATGCAGCTCACTGTAATTTGTTCCTCTGGATCGTGTCATGAAATTAGAATAAATTTAACACTAAGCCCTCTTAGCCAGAGGTTTGAATGTGTTAAGACAGATTTGGATTTTCAGATTTTTATTTATTAATAACCCTATGTCCTATTCCCATCTCAACTTTCAATAAAGTCTAAATGCCAACCAGTCATTTCAGATGGTCTCCACTTATATTCCTCTCTAGCCTATACCAGCCGCAGCTGGTTTGCATCAGGTGAAAAAGAGTGATTGTAGTGATGGGTGGTTTGTGAACGACTCCACTCTGCACTTGGGGTCTTGAGGGGCAATCAAATTCTGAAAGGGGTTTCGGGAAGTTTTTTCTGGTAGCCCCTTGACTCAAGTCTGCAATTTTGTAGACTTCATTCAGTGTCATAGCCAAAGATTTTAAATTCATCACAGTCTTATGGTGAAGGACTATACAATAGAGACAGTTGCTTGTAAGTGCAAGTCGGGTGGTAGCTTTTTGGAAGTGGCAGTTGTTCATCCAACATGTGCATTCATGTGGTTTATGTGGGAAGTCAACAAAACATGGTTACTTTGAACACTAATGTAACAGAAATAAAACACAGGTCAGTTGTACATATTCAACATTTAATTTACCATCACCATTTATTATACACACTGTTAGCTTCTTTCCTCATCCAGGCTGTAAAATAGCCTGTTTCCAATAAATTTTTTGTGTTGTCATGTGTACCAACACATATATCCGCCTATTCAGCCTGCAGGAGTTTAGCTCTGCCCATTCACGCTGAAGTTATAAGGAGTGTTTCAGCCCGGACTGCTTTTTGAATGAGAAACAATGCAGGACTGCCAATAGGCAGAGAACCAAAGATGGCCGTTTCTAAGCAGTGAAGAGAAGTTGGAAAATGGTAATGTAAAAATGAATTATGATTCATTTGTTTTGTTTTTTGGTTCGTAAGCCATGCAAACATCATGTGTCCTCAGGAAAATATTTCTCATACCTAGAAAATGTAGGATGTGGGCCCTGCTTTCCATGAAGAATGAACCGGTTGAAATTATCTAGAATTACTTGGGGGGGGGGAGGACTCTTGTTAATTCAAAGTTCCCATGGAGATTTGAGGTTTTGTCTCGACGGGACGATATGCAGCGTTAATGCAGATAGGGTGGAAGTGAGGCAAATGTGGAGCAAAATTAAGTGATGGCAAAGGAGGATTTCTTATGAAGGTTCCCGCGCAAACCGAACCGGCCTCGAGCGTCCAATAAGGCGGCGAAAACGGCTTCATAACACGACACTGGGGTTCACAGAAAGGTAAAGGGACTGATTTAGGTCTCCTTGTACATTCCTGAATACCAAGTTTAATGTATGAGTCTAAACGGTTTAATATACCGCACCTGGTCTCTCAGCTCGCGCCACTCCTCTGTCCATTCTCGCGGGCGCGCGCACCAGGTCCAACCGTTTTTGCCTTAATGTTTCTAGGGGAGTCTGGGTAACGCACACAACGTTCAGACTTACTGCGTTTTTTCCGTTATTTTGTACTCCGAGTGATATTCATGATTCTCGAATTTAACAGTAACGTTTTCAGGTCTGAGGTAACTAACTTTGGACTGCACCATCTCCCCGCTGTCTCGTGTCTGTGTGGTGGAGACAGGCGTAGTGGGCAGTGAGAGGGTCTAATCTTGGCAGCGGCTGTCTCGTCTCCTGTGTCAGCACAGCGTGTGTAATAACACTCGTGTCTCCAGAGCTGGTGGGAAACACTTCGCTCTTCAGACTGAAACGGCGGCTTTCACAGAAACGAAGGCGAAAAGACGAAGAGCTTAGGCTGAGAAAAAGGGGTGTGAAGCGCATTGTGATGGGAGAGGGAGAGTGGTCGAGGTTACCTCATTAGGGCTGAGACAGCGACTCCGCTCTGGATGTTCTACACTGACAGCAGGCAGGAACATGGATTTGTTCAGGGTTGGACTACAGTTGCTGTTTCTGCTCTACTCTGTGTCGAGCTTTTCACCCAATAACCTGGACGACGTTCTGCCTCTTCCTACAGGTAAGACATCAGGAACAGATGAGGGTGTGTTATAGGAATGTCGTAGCTGTCTGAAGTTATTTCCTCTGTGTGGTGTGTGTGCGTTAATTTTAGGTACGTGGTGCTGTGGCAGTGAATTCAATGCTCAGTATCAGAATAAGATAAACAGTTTGGTGGTGTACCTCTGGAATCTTTCTGTCATCATAATGATGCCTTATTTTAACGCTGGGCGAACATACTATGCAGGTCTATGTTTACCACCCCTCCAAAATCTAGAGGTAAATCTGAGGCAGTTGTGTTCATACTGTGAAAGAAGTGTGTAGTGGTATGAAACTGTAGTCCTACAGAACCACAGTCTTCAGCACTGCAGTCTGAGAATGAAACGCCAGACTGTGGCAAGCCACGTTTTTAAGCCAAGTCTTTAAATACCTCAGTGCTATAAAAAGTCTATGGTTTGTTTCCTGTGTCATTTCATGTCTGCTGGATCAGATGTGTTGGAGCAGGAAACAACATTAAAATGTGCAAGGCGTGGAATACTCCATTAACCAATGTGCTAAACCAGCCAGTGGTCGGTATGGTCCATCACAACCTGAGAAATCTGTGATATCATTCCAAAAAACACTGCTGTACCCTTACATACTGTTTGGGTACAATATACAGAAAAAACTTTAGCAGAATAAAATGCAAACATCCACAGTAACATAATAATAAAGTAAAATGGAAACCCACTGGTTATATTTACAGTGTTTGGCAGACACTCTTGTCCAGTGCGACTTACAAAGTATTCATGTTACAGAGACGAATGTAGTGTTAGGACTCTCATTGGTGTGGTGTGGTGTGCTTGCTCAGGCAAGCAATTAAACCCCAGTCTGCCACATGGAGGGCAGTGGTGTTACCCATTCTGCAATACCACAAGTTCCTGGAGTAACCCTGCCCTGCACAATTTAGTGTTTTCTTGCTATAACACATCAACTGCAACTCAGATAGGACTTGTTATTTAACTGATTAGTTGGATCAGGTTTGTCAGAACAGGAAAAACATCAAAATGTGTAGGGCAGGGGGTACTCCAGGCATCAGTGTGCTAAACCAGCCAGTGGTCAGTATAGTCCATCACAACCTGAGAAATCTGTGACATCATTCAAAAGAAAACACTGCTTGACCGTAACATAATGTTTGGGTCAAACCACCTTAAGTATACATTTAAGCCTGAAATATGAATTTTCCTGAATTGTCCCAAAATGGACAAAAAAATATTTTTTTCACATAACTTTTGTACATAGGTTTTGTTTTGGGACAGTTTTGACCACACCTGTTGAATTACAGGTTCACTAAAGGAAATCTTGAAACAGTGGTCTATTCTGTAAAGGGTTAGACTACAATGATTTGTTATATCTACATTTTCTCAAAAACAAGTACAATGGCTGAATCAGCTTCAGGTGGAGCACTGAGAGCCAATAGAAGCCCTGCTCAAGAACTGCAGAGCATACAAATTTGTTTTCTTTTCATACTGTGGCCTTCTTGTTTCCCTTTTAAAACTGTATGGCTGAAATGTCTTCAATCTTACCTTATCTTCAAACAGTTGTAGTCGTCTGATAATTGTAATCTAATTGCTTGTCATAGCCTTGGGTCCAGTGGATGCACTCAAAAGATTTGACCCATGCTGCTTACTGACTCCACCTCCGCCTCCATTGTTCCCTCCGCCTCCCAGTGTCTGGAGACGAGGCCATGTGAGTGATTTTTGACAGTACTTAAATCTCAATGCATGTGCTCTTGCTTTGTTCATGTTTACTGTAATTGCTGTAATCACCCTCTTCAGCACAGTCTCCATGCTCAGGCTATTTTGACCCAGCTGAACTGCGACATGTAATGAGTGGTTCTCAGTTGTACAATTGCTGAAAGTGGCTTGCTACTTAAAATAGCTACTAGTTATGAATATACCTGCAAAACAGGATTGAAGCTGTATTTCTTTTAGAAAATATATTTTTGTCATTTTGTCGAAGCTCTATTTGAAAACCTATGCGGTACAATCTAAAACAAATCTGTGAATTTCAAGAGCAGCGTAAGATTTGAGCTGAAGGTGCACCTGGTGACAGCAATACAGTGGTGTGTTCTAAGTTGAGAATTCAGGCTTAGGTCCAACTGTGCAGTATGCCAGCAATGTCCGGTGCTTCCTGTTAATGCAACTTGCCTTGTTTCTAAATCGGCAAATATGTCATACTGTTCCTCTTTTCGTTCTGCTGCCGTGTTAGATACCAGCCAGGCAGGCTTGTACATGGTCATATGTAGCTGTGATACCCTCTTTGTGCTACAGCAACTTCAGGGAACGTTTTGCTCAGTTTATGTTAGTGATTTCTTCCTGCATTGACTGTGCTCTGTCAAAAGCCATGACCAATTTTTTGAATGAATGCCATCAGACTCTCCTGCTGTTTTGTGGCAGGGAGTCACAATTTATAATTGATTGATCCTGGTTAATTTGGGGGGCCAGTGAGAAAGTTTACCTATATCATTCAAAAAGACTAGTGTCAGGTAAATTCTTGTATCTGTTTTGAAGGTGTTCCCTGAATCTGTGGAGATTGAAAGAGAAAAAGGAAGAGATGAAGATAAGGTGATAGAACACTGTCTACCAGGACCTCCAGGACCACATGGCCCTACTGGACCACAGGTAAGAAGAGCAGAATTGGAGACTGATTTGTCTTATAGCATAGTTGCAGTTGTACATTGTTTTGTTGATGCTTGTTATTTCAGGGACCCAGTGGTATTCCAGGAATACAGGGACCCAAGGGAGATAAGGTCTGTCTGATAAGTGGACTACAATGACGTTATTGTTTGTAAACTATAGTTGTCACAGTTCAGATTGTTTTTTATTTCTTATTGCCTCTAGGGTGATATAGGTCGTCCAGGGTCAAAGGTAAGACTTATCTTTGCACGTTAAGAATTAAAAATACCCTTCTGTTGTAAAAATGCAATAAAAAGCTGATCACAAAAAAAAAAATAAAAATAAAAATACCACTTCAGTTTCTTGGTTAAAGCTGTTCTGCAGGTAGTAATGGTATATGTAAAAGACCCCTAGTCTGTTAAAGACCCCTGAAGTCATGTTGTTAAATTAAATTAAAATATACAGGAAAAAACTACGACAGATGTGTTGGGCAGGACAAACTGTGCAAAAACTGACAAAATATGCAGGGCAGGGGGTACTCCAGGAACCAATATTCCAAATTAGCCAGTGGTCAGTATGGTCCATCACAACCTGAAAAATCTGTGATATCATTCCAAAAGAGCCTGTGGAAAACAATACTTGATCCTTACATACTTTTGGGTGCAATATCAAGCAAATTAAAATATAGTCATGTCATCATTCTGTAAGTGTCATGCCCTTATTTGGAACCCCCATTTTCTCCATGGCAAAAATTAATGGCGTTTTAAAAAATTGCTGCTGTTGCTCTCTGTGGTAAACTTTGGTAAACTTCCAAAAGTGATATGTTTTGTCATATGTATTATCATCAGCACCCCCTGCCACAACTGTCTTTGGATCTACAAATAATAGTGGGCAGTATACTGGTTGAAATTCTTGAATTTGTGTCTGCCACAAATAAGCATAGAGAATGCAACATACGAGCAGTGCATTTGAGTTGAGTTAATAACAGAAGCATGGTTTTCTTTTCACAAAACATAAAAAAGGCATATTTTAAAAATGTGATATTAAATTACTCTATGCTTTTAATTTTGCTGGTGATAACTGTGACTTCTAATGGTTAACATTCTTTTATCTTGCTTTAGATTATCTGAAAACTATTGCTTTTCTGTATTATACTCGGTATTCCTTGTCCTGACTATGCACAGTATAGTTTTGCAGTGCAGAGTGTGCACTTTACTGTTTATTACTGTAGTGTATTAAGGCTTGGCTTTGGTCCACTGCAGTGCTGTCTGGCAATATCACTTAGTGCTCAACCCAGACATTAATCTCCCCACCGCACTGCAGATCAGAATGAACACACAGCTATTTAATTACACTGAGAAAGAGAGAGAGAGAAAGAGAGTGTTTGCATGTAAGTAGATGGACATGCTGGGTGCATTGGTGAATATAAAGGGATTTTTACAATTTTGTTTTTATTTAGTTTTATTTTTGCCAAGCTGTCATTAACCACGTGCACTAATAAATTGAAACAGTATGTTATTTTTGTATATTTGTGTATCACTCTATGATTATGGATACTGGGATGCATTTGTACAAAACAGTGTATTGATTGCTTATTTAGTTTTTATGAGTATACAAGTAACAACATTACAAAATGAAAATAATGATTCCAGCTGCTCATTGTCACACTCCAGAGCTCTACTCATGCCTGCTATGTCTTTGAACATAAGCAAGAACATGAACAACAACAACAGGAACTCTCATCCAAGCTCTGTACTTTCAGCTCAGCTAGACTACTGAGTTGTGTCTTTACTTGACACACACACAAACTCTCACACAGACAGTCTGATCTATCTGTGTGTTTGTGCAGGGTCGTACTGGTCGGCCTGGTCTTCCTGGGAGGTCGGGTGCTGCAGGATTTCCGGGGCCAGAGGGACCCAAGGTGAGTTCTGCTTCTCGGCTGTTTTCTGCTGTAGATAACCGTCAAGCTTTTATTGCATTCTAACCCTTGAAACTCGGGACTTATTATTCAGTTATTAATCTTAGGACAATGTAAGTGTAGTCTTATCTGCAAAGTGCCAGTGTGGCTGCAGAAGCACACCTGATTCCACTTGTTCAGTCAGTTGGTCAGTCTTGAAACAGCTGATCATGTGTGCTCCTGCTTTATTCAATTGAAAGCCTGCAAGCACGCCGGCCCTTTGCAGATAAGATTGGACACCCCTCTCTTAAGCCTTATTGTCCAGTAAATACCATTAATCATTCTGTAACTACTGTGTAACATATGCAGTTACAAGGAGGGCTAGGTTTAAAAATAAGTGCCTTTATGGTCCTGAACAAGTGAGAAATGATGTGTCTCTCAGTACCAAATTTCAATACCTAAGTAGTCAGTCTTGGGCCAGAAACATATTTTATGCAAGAATGCAAATGCATTGAGTAACATAAATCAATTTTGCACATTGTTGCACTCTACAGTGTGTGACCATGCATTATATAATGCAAGGCAAGTGCAAGCTCCATTCTGAGCATTGTAGCATGGGGTACTGTAGTGACAACTAAGTCTGGCCAAGTGTACTTTCATCCAGGAAGACCATTTACTGTATCCATATTTATGTATTTACTGTAGACCAGCAATTTACAAAACTAGTTTGCTCATAAAACCACATCATTGCCTCTTCAATACAATACTACAATAGTACAAGTAAAGCTGTACACAGTACTGTACTGTCAACATGTTTGGCTGTTGAAATAACAATAACAACTCTGATTTGCTTTCTGAGTAGATATTTAAGTACTGATTGTTTTATCCTCCTCAGTAGTACGTTTGCAACGTGTTGGTGTAAGGTGTTGTCATGTGTGTTTGTGTACTTGTGTTTGGTATGTTTTTACCAAACACAAGTACCTTTTAACATGCTTACAAGCTTAACATGCTTGTTTCAAACTCTAGACTGGTGAGAGGCTGTCTAAATTACATTCTGTGTACAAGCTGTTAACAAGCTGTTAACATCGGTGTCTCTTGATTAGTCTGGAATCTGTTACAATCTGTAAATATACTCACTTCCAGCACCTGACACTCGTTTCTAGTCTAAGACATTCCCACCTCCAGTTTGTAGTAAAAAAAGATGGTATCAAAAATATTGCTGTGTAGGAATCATCATCTAAACCAAGGCGTCTAAATCAATTTATATTGGTAACAATATCAAATTGACCAATACCTAGCCCTTATTGTGAATGTGAAGAATGAAATTCTGTATTTGTTAATGAATCCTTGGAGTTTAACTGGTTAATGTAGATACCTGACACACTACTCCTTCATTATCGTCAGTTCACCAAACAGTTTCTCACTCATCAGCAAAGTAAAGGCAATGCTGCCCATCCATGGCATAACAGCAGGTTTACCTTGAGTCAATCGATCGATAGATTTTTTGTCCCTCCGAGGCAGTTTTATCAGTAGGTCTAGTTTTACATTAACCACATTATCCACAAACACCAAACAAAAAAAATGAAAAGACAGTCTAGCATTAATAACTGCCCTTTAGGCCAACAATAAACAGTTTAACAGCTGTTGATGCAAAAGTGAGCGTAATGCAATTTGTTTTCACTTATGCACACCTCAAAAGGCAGATTTTGAATGCTCAGTAACCTCAAACTGGTCTCAGTTCTTGTTTTGTGTGACTGATAGGGGGAGAAGGGAGATCCTGGACTGATGGGAATGCCTGGGATGAGAGGACCAACAGGACCCAAGGTGAGGAACAGAGTGATCTATGATATGATAATGGCAATGGCTGAATGGAAAAATATATCTTTCCAGAGTAGCGGTGTTAATAATATAGTGTATAATACAGTGTAAAGGCAGTCTGAGACAGTATGAGCAATAAATAGTATGAGTAATAAAAAAAAAATGTAGTATATACATATTCAACATAAGTTGAATATGTATATACAGTACTGTACAAAAGTCAGAGACTACCCTTCAGTTATTTAATTTCCAGTCATTTAAGGAGATATTTCTAAGGAGATTACATATAAAATAATCCACCTATATAAGGAAGGAATTCAAAAAAATGATTGAAGTATATAGAGAAAATTGGACTCCTAACAACCGTGCAAGACTGGATAGATCACTAAAACTATCACTATCAAACAGTACAAAAAAGCTTTCTTCTTTGAGAGAGAGAAGAAAATCAAGCTCCACTCTTGCTACAGATCTGCCAAATCCACAGGTCCATCCTTCCACTGTGAGAAGACAACTCAACACCATGAGTCTGAAAGGATGTGTAGCTGTCAAGAAGTCCTTACTGAGAAAAGGAATCGGACAACAAAAGAGAAAAATTTGCAAATGAATGAAGAAGCTGCTGGTGTTCTCACAACAATGGACTGACCACTTCAGACCACTGCAGACAGATTTGTTAGAGATAGGAAAGGAAAGGACTAAAAGTGATTCTGCTCCAAGATGCTGTCAGTCATTTCAGCATAAACCCCCAAACTCTCAACTGCTGAAGCAGCACCGTGGCTGCTCTGAAGCTCAGAGTTTCTGTAGGCTTTAATGGGCTTGCAGAGATTGCGTTGTTTGCAGGCTTCTGTTGTTTTATTTCTGATTCCTCGCTGAGGCTTATTTCAGGTTCTTGAATCCTCCTGTTAGAGGAGTTTGAGACAAAAGACTATAGTCGAAAAATGATACTTCCATTAATACTGTTCTCATAAAAATGATATGGTCTTTTTTGCTCAATCCTGTCTCTTTATATGCAGTTTTTATGGTATTTCTCTTCCTTTTTATTCAGGGCCTGCCGGGATACAAGGGAGAAAAGGTTTGTCTTTCATACTCTTGTTTTGTGTGAAACTGACTGCTTATGCTCTTTCAGCAATGAGCATTTCATTGCCTTCATGTTTGAGTGTGTTTTGTAGGGATCGCAGGGGGAACATGGAATTCCAGGTCCAAAGGGAGACAGGGTAAGGGAAAACATATCTGTCAGTAACACTGCCTTTTTCATTTAGACAATATTTTCCTAACCCCAAATATAGTCAATCAGCCAAGACATGTTTGTTGTCTAAAATTGCTTAACAAAGTAGAGTGATCCTCAAAAAGAGTTGTTTATTAGTTGATTTATGGTTTTAGGCACTGTGTGACATGCAGGAAGTCATATGTAAAATGTGTAAAAAAGTATAGAGAACATTCAGGGTTCAAGAGGGCTACCACTACTACTTCTTGCTATGTAACATGTTTTGTATATGTATATTTTGTATGTAAAATCTGATGCTTTTAGCTTAAACTTGTGTGTAGAAGTTTGCATACCCGTAGTGTGCATGCAGCTAAACTTGCATAAAAAAGTTGGTGCGCATCTGTGTAGCGGTGTGGCTAAACATACTGTGTTAAAGTTGGTGTTTAGCTGGTGGAAGCAATGTAGCTAGCTGGCACAGGATGATGTAGAAACATGTTGGTTTGTTGAGGTAACGTTTAGAATAGAGAAATATCTTTTCTAACTTCAGCTATGGTTAGCTGAGCTGCACCACTGCAGACTTCTCACTCATGTCTGTGACATGCTGAGTCACTATTGTTTTATAGTAACATAAGCAAAGTAAAATAATGTAGTCATAAGACAGTTTACTGAATAAAAAGGCAGTCAGCTGCTAGTTAACTAGGTACCCCTCTCATTGCCCATTTTATCTTGTACACCTACTAACCGCTGACTTAAGTACCAGGTTTTTAAGCTAAACACAGAGATGTAACTATAGTACCTTGGAATAAATGTTTGTATGCTGTCAGCTTTTTTTCAGCATCAGCTTTTAACCTTTACAGTTCTACATGTGAGACGATGACCCTGTGAGAATCTCACATGAACTTTTAACAGCGTCAGCTATTTTCATTGCACCGAGACGACACTGGGTTTGCACTTAACCCCTTCCCATTAAATTACTATAAAGATTATAAAGATAAGAGTTAAAGGGGCTTTAGGCATGCACAGAGCTAACTGGTGGGCTGTAAGCTTCCATTGCCTGTCAGCTACATTAGCCTAATAGCTCAAGTGTAAAACTAAAAATGTCAACTTCAGTCACAGAAAGTGTTCGTTGTTTGTTTACATTTGGGTTAAGAGGAAAATTGTCTATATTTGATTTTCATCTGATTCCTGTAATACACTGAATTGGCTGTATTTGTAGGGATCGAATGGTGTAGCTGGGATGCTGGGACAGAAGGTAAGAGCTGATGAGTTACGTGAAGACTTATTGATCTCATTCATAGTGTATTTTTTAATAGTGCATCACTGAATATTAATTATAGATACCTTTATGTATCTCTGCATATTGTTGAGGGTGTTTGTGTGTGTGGGGGGGTATGTTTGTCAGGGTGAAATAGGTCCAAAGGGAGAACCCGGTGTGTCTGGGAAGCGCGGCCCTACAGGACGTCCTGGCAAAAGAGGCAAACAGGTGAGAACGAACGTGCCAACAGAACAATACAGAAACATGTACAAGTACATATCGTTACTCTCCTTTTTTGTCATTTTTTGACATAATTTGAAAAGGCTAGTTGCCATTCATGTGTCAAAATTTCATGGTGAATGGACCAACAGAAATAATTCAAAGTTACTTGGAAAAAATTATTTCTCCATTAACTTGTATTACAAGTTAAGTGTTTTTCCTTGGCTTAGAAAGTTAACATTTTGGAAATAAACGGTTTTGTTGCAACAGCAGAGATATGCATACACTCTGCATGAAATCTGTGCAACTAGATTTCATTCTCTCTCCAAAACTTACACAAAAGGATATAGACAAAAAATAGTCTAAAAGAAAATTTGTAAATGAAACAAAGAAGCTGCTGGTGTTCTCAGAACTGGACTGACCACCCCAGAGCCTGAACTTCAACATCACTGAATGTGTTTCTGAATATGTAGATTGTGAGAAAAGCAGAAAATGCAAACAACATCTGAGGCTTAACTTTGGAGGTCTGGAAAAGTATCCCTGCAGATTCCTTTGAAAAAGCAAGTCTGCTGAAAATAATGGAAGCTATGATAAAGGCAAAGGGTGAACATGCTAAATACCGAAAAAACAGATGTTATGCTTAGTTGTTAAAGCTTCGTTTTATTCTCTGCTACTTTTTTCTGACTCTGAAAAATGAAATAAATAAATAAATAGATTACTATATATGTAACTACCTAAACGTAATAAGAATTTCAAACCTAACCTTAACATCAGTAACCATGAAGAAATATTCCCTTTCAAATAAAAAAATGAAAGGTGGGTCTGTACATTGTATGGTTCCCCTGTTTTTTTTATTTACTTTTTCTGCAAAGAGGGAACAGTTTTATTCTAAAATGTACAAAAACAAATACCTACATTTATGCACACGCACTCACACACACAACATACACACAGCAGCTAGATCTGGCTGAATGAAATCACTTTGGGATTACTCAACACTCAGTGAGTCTTTGAATATGTGAGTGGCATAAGGATCACTGGCACCAGAGACCTGTCACATTTTTAGCACTAACACACACAACCCATGGCTGAACTCACATACGGTTACTCGATCTGACCGTGTCCTACTTATGCTAAATCGGTCAGCACATCTTTCTGTTCAGTTGTAGAAATGTTATTTATGTTTAAATATAAAGACATACATATCAGAACATCAGATTTGTGTTTGCCTTTGAAACTATGTGTGTGTATGTGTGTGTGTGTGTGTGTGTGTGTCTCACCCCAAAGCAGTTTGATGTGTTACATCATCTGAGGAGTTCAGTTAGTAGGCATGACTGACAGTCTCTTATATTTCAAACCTCTAATGTTACACGGAGGCTTTTCCTGTAGATGTCCCATTCCTGAATGGCTGTGGATTTAGCAGTCAATTCCCCTTGCTATATGGGTCAGTGAGCTTGGTGCCCTGACCTTTCGAGCTTCCTTGCTTGCTGGATTCCTAACTTGGAGTTTCACATGAAAGACATTCTAGCACCGGAAACTACAGTGGTAGGAACCTTTTAGTGGATCATTGATTAAAGCAGTAATCCATTTGAGGCTATATGTTACAGTGATTTTATTACAGTTAAGGGGAGCAATGCTCAAGTAAAATTACCGTTAAGGATACACCCAAGTGGCTTACTACTTACTACTAATTGTGCACTGAAGTGCTTATTAAGCTATTGTTTTATGCCCCATTAAATGTCTCAGACGTTCTGGAAGATCGTGCAGTTTGTGGCTGTCATTACAGCTTAGTAAAAATGAAACTACAGCAAGCAGTATAATATCCCAGGAAAGTGCAGTGCATCAAAGGACATATGAAAAAGCAAAGTTCTTGCCCCTTAAATATTGTCCTGTAATGGCATTGCTTTATAGTTTTATACTTGTATAACAGTGTAAACAAAAGTTGCAATTAAATAACTTTATTAGCATAAGTAATGTGTATAATAGTTTGTATTGTTTAAATAGAATCCTGTCATTAAGCATTTCTCTAAAACAGGTTCAAGTTTCTGTTGAAGGAACAATTACAAACATCAGCACAAAAGCATTCAAGCACCTCAACAATAAGAATTATGTTTTTTTTTTTTTCTCCTATTTCTATCATGTAAGAGAGTCATTAGCATTTAACATATTGTCCAATTATGTTTTGTCTGAGGTTCTCTCAAAGCGTCACAGGCTGCAGAAATAAAGTGGATAAAATTCTAATAAACATGTATGCTGTACCCTTTGTTTGAAGCAGGGTTCTAAAGGAGAGACTGGTGCAGCAGGACCGATGGGGCCACCTGGCCCACCAGGACCTAACGGACACCCAGGACCCCCAGGAGTTCCTGCCTCAGGTGACCAGACATTCATACACATTAAAAGACACATTGAATTCATTGTTTACCTGTGTAGGTTGTATATATGTGAATGAATATGTGTGTTATGTACAGGGCTATATCTGGTGGGAGAGAAAGGTGAGAAGGGGATGCCAGGTCCTCCTGGAGAGTGTGACTGCACTTCCTTCAACACAAATGGCCCTGGTAGTGCATCGTTGCAGCGCCGTGGCAAATATGAAAAAGTCTCAGCGGTGAGCTTCCAACTCACATGCAGTCAGCACTGTCCAACATTGTTACAGTCCTAATAAGTCCTCTATATTTGGGATAGGCATGAAAGGTCAGTGATTTGATTAGTCAGAATCATCTAGTAGAGCTGATTTTGACATATTGTGAATGTTAAGGTTTAATGTACAGCTTATTTTAAAGATAAAACTTTAACCCCTTAATTAGCCAGGACCCACCAACAGGTCTAGTTTTCTGTTTCTCACTTTTAGAACTTAAGAATAACTCAGCCAGTTTGTATTGTTGTCCATATAATTACTGAATAATAAGCTTTAGTATGTAATAAGCCTGTGAATGTAAGGGGTTAACAGAGTTGCTGCTCGAATTTTTATTTTATGGAATAAAAGTCACTGTCTGGTTTGAAATTATAGTGAATTTTGATCAGAGCAGATAGTCACAGCTACGAGAGCCAGTGTTGCATCAGGAATCTTTAGCTTTCTATACATGAATAAATCATATATTTTTTTAATCTAAAGTAGCACCTGGTTCTTTAATAATTACTATAACAGTGTAAATTAATTGATATGTATTTTCATGAAGTTTGTTTTCTTTTAGTGGCCTTTGTTGGGTGCCCTGAAATGTCATCAAACAAAAAGAATATCAGTGATATTATGTGTTACTACACTGCGGGTCCAAAAGTTTGTAGAGACTTGCTGCAAGAGAGTCTCTTCTTGAAAGCCTTTAAACTAGATGTTGTTACCTTGCTGTAAGGACTTGATTGCATTCAGCCACAAAAGCATTAGTGAAGTCAGATCACAAACTGCACTCCAATTTAGGCCTGTCACAATTATTACTTAATCGCCTGATCACCTAATGGCAGTTATTAATCATATGTTCACGTTGCAACAAATACAATGTAGTTAATTAGTTGAATTTGGTGTTTTTAATCCATTGGGTTGTGGCAAATACATATGTAAATATGCAATATGAAAAAGAAAACAGAAAGCACATTTACTCAGACAGGTCATTGGTCTTATGAAAACGGTTTTAACTTCTGATTAGGGTTTTAACACAGGGCAGTGGTGAGTAATGTTTGTTTATTTAAGCCAGTTTGCCCACTTACATGCTTGTACTAGTTGCATACAGTTAAAAAGATACAGATAAAAAAAAAGATAATCAAATTGTTAATCACACTTATTTATATGACAGTTAATTGCTTACTTTGACTCATCCCAAAGGTATTGCATGGTGCTCCATAACTCTAGAGAACAGTTTCGTTGCTCCATAGCCCAATGCTGACACTTTGCACCAGAGCATCCTATTCTATTGGCAGTGCTTTTATATGGAGTTTACAGAAGTTGTGCACCCAACTGAACACCTGTCACTAATTAGACAGGATTTCTGGACACTGTTGGACATATGGTGTATGGTTACTGGTAAATATTGAAAATGCCAGTGTCCCTACTACATATGCAATCATGTACATATGTACATATATGTTTATGTATTATTAAGCTGTCTGCACTAGAAATGTGGTCTCAATCAGCCCATGTGTTGCTTGTTGTTTTTGACAGATATTTGTGGTAAACAGTGAAAAGGAGCTGAATAATCTGCACACAGACAATGCGATTGCCTTCCTCAAAGATCAGAAATCTCTCTACTTTAAAGACATAGACGGATGGCAGCCCATTCAGGTATCTGGTTTCACTTCTTTGTTCATAGCTGTGATTGTGATAATAATAGTGTAATGTTGCTGTAGAATTAGTCTTTTTCAGCCGATGCTGCCAAACAGCTCAACTCACAGCACTGAATTCTGCCTGTCTGCATGTTTGATTTACTGCAAGAATTACTTTGCTCTGTCTTCCCTAAAGCCTAAGGGCTTCTTCCAGTTCAACTGGTTCAGCACATCCAGACTGGAAATCAAGGCTGCTCTGTGAATGTCATTTAGTTAGACATGTTATTTATTTGTTTATTTTCACAGCTGCTCCCATTCCAGTCGACAGAGAGGGCGAAGGGAGGAGCGTGGTTGTGTGGGGATGGAGAAGTGCAGCCACTGAACGGAGAGGAATGTGATGATGGAAACAAGGTGGTCACAGATGACTGTGTTGGTAGGTCATGGGCTCATACGCATTTACTTTAAAAGAAAACACACTTCTTTTGTTTCTGGTTTGCATCTCTGTTTGTTTCACTGTAGGTTGTAAGAAGGCTTACTGTGGAGATGGATATCGTCATGATGGGGTTGAGGAGTGTGATGGGAAGGACTTTGGCTATCAGACCTGCAAGACCTACCTACCAGGGTATGTGACACATGCACACATACAAAAATGCAAGTATAATGAGAAGACTCTCACGCACACTAAAATTCTCCACAAATGTGCTTGATGTGTCTAGGAAGAAAGCACACAAACTCATGGCTGCATAAGCAAGTGGCCAAAATAACATACAAACTACTCCATGTCTGATTCATGAAACAGTGTTTGACCACAAAGCAACTTGAGGTTTGAGCACATTTGATGAATCAGTTTCAGCTGCATGGATAAAGGCACCCTCCCACTACAGTTTTTCCAAGTGAAACACAGGATCAGCAAGGGTTTCTGAGCTAGCTGCGCATTTTGCTTGGTGATAGGTGGGGGTGGTGTGAGGGAGAGGTAAAACATGATGTTATTGATTAATATTATTTTTCCCTGCTAGCTGGTGCACAGTGACAGTGAAAAATCAAAAAAAGGCTTCAGTGGCAGTCAAAAATCACTACATATTACTGAAGAATTTTATCTTTTAAATTATATGATATAATGAATTGTGTTTAATGTAACCAGGGGCCTGCAACAGACATTAACATATATTTTAACTTGTATGTACCAGTTTTCCAGTAACTTGCCCTGGCATAGAGCTGCTGCTGTTTTCCATTTTTAACAACTCAATCCTGGTTAGACTACCATTAATTTTCACAGTCAGTGATGTATCTAGGGCTTTTTAGAAGGCTTAGAGTAACACACAAAATTCCTCAAATTTGCTTCCACCCATTGGAAATAAAAACATGATTGATTTCTTCTTCTTTTTTAATTATGTTCCACATCTTTACCACATCTGGTAAATTCCCGCTTGTAAATATGACTTTGTCACCTGTTCGAGAGCTGTTGAATGCTACTCGAACGCAGCATTAAAAAGGTCAGTTTTAGACTGTAGGTTGACTTTAAAACTGAATTACGCACCACTTTTCTACAATGATTCTGATGTAGTTATTTTCATTATTTTCAATATTGCTCATATTATTAATATTGTTTAAATATTATGCTCAAATTTGCACAACATCACCAGACTTGAGTTTGATCAGACAAATGAAACTGATGAATAGCGAACCTATTAGTTGGATTTGCATCATTTCATGATCAGATTTGACCATCTACATCTTTACGGTTAAGCGGCAATGTGTTGTGTTTTCTCTCGTTCTGTTTGCTCAGGACGTTTGGGCAGCTCAGATGTACCGATTCCTGCTTTATCGACTCGACTGGCTGCAAGTACTTCACTTGAGCTCCTCACAAACACGTACAGCTGTACGAGAATACACTGGACTACAAAAACAGATTGCTCCAGTACTCTTTGGAAATGTTCTCAGACTGTCTGATACTGTGGCCCATGTTTACTTTTCTTTAATCTCACGTATCTACTGAGCTGGATCACATAAGTCCCAATAACTTTTCAAGTCTTGAATTGGCAGCTGCCGGTGGTCATAGAATTTGGATGCCTTAGCACTGTTATGAACATGATTATGTTCATGTGATTATGACTGTAGTGAATGTAAAATATTTTATATATGCGTTTGTATTTATTATTTATTATTACTTTACTGTTACTTTTGCATGCATGAGTTTGTGTTTCTGCATGCAACAGATTGCCTTTGTTGTTTTAGCAGAGATACTGAGGTACTAAGAGTGTCATGAAATCAGCATTAATTGAGAAACGAGATCACTGAAGATCAATGACAAATCACAGTGCTGCATGGAACCCAAAGTAAAATATGTGTAAATATACAATCTTTAAATATAAACAATAGTAAAAGATTAAAGCATGTTTAGTCCATTTGCATGCATTTCTATGGCTGGTGACTCTGCTGGTGTATGTATTTTGAATTGTGTCCATTAAATGAGCCGGAATGGTCAGTCTTAATCATCTGCCATTGTAGTTTTTTTTAACTACAAGTATAATAATTGAATTCCAGGAAATTTGCTCAAGTTAGACAGTTATTTATTCAGGCATGAGTTATAACAGTGATTTACATTGAGATTCATTCCAGTTGATGGCACTGTTTCCCAGAGTGTATTGTGAGCATGTCTTTATACAACTTGATCAGACAAAATTCAGACTAAACTGTCCTGCATCTTATATAAAATGTCATGCATTCATATTTGATATTGAAGAGACAAAAAGAAACCAACACACTCATACAAACAGTCTCACTCATTTTAGTATGAAAAAATAATAAAGTCCTCTGCTTTGCTACTTAGAGCTCTGCCTCATTGATCAAATATAACTTTAGGTGGTGTAAATGAGAAAAAATTAAAGCAGGTTAAGTTTAGTTTAATTCATAGAGGTTCAGTCAGTCCATATTCATTACAGCTGCTCTCTTTTCACGGTGTGTCTCTTTTTTGTGTGTGTATCTTACAAAATATGTGGTTCAAACATGACCTCTCAAGGCTCCGTCATAGAACATAAAATGACATCCAGTTTCAGGTTCAAAATGGTCTTATACAAAAGACAGAAATAGTTTCAAACCAGCATGTCCTCAGGTTATTGTGTGAAGATTTTAGCAAAACATCTTTTAGCTATTAGTTTGAAAGCTCTTGGCTCTGTTAGCTTCATTTAGTTGTGTACTTTCACCTGAATGGGAGTACAATGATGTACAGAAACATCACTATCCTCAACAGTCAAAAGGACAGGACTTGCAAACGAAATGAAATAGTTTCAGTTGAGCTATTAGATTAGATGTTCTGTTCTTTATCAGGTCTGACCATAAGATACAGATGTTAGAGTTCTGCACTTCTGCATAAGTGGTATATTAACATTTTTAAAAGCAATTTTGCTGTCTTTTTAAATCTTGTGGAAGCATGGAGGGGACTATCTGTACTATCTTACTCACATTCTGTCATGTCACATCTCACATTTCACCACCAAGCCTGGAAAATGTTTGTTTTTGAGGAAAGCACTGACTTATCATTGTAAACATCATCAACTTAGCATTCTTAGATACACATTACACAAAAAAGCATAATCTCTCTGTCTGCCCTTTATCCATCCGCTAATGCATCATTCTGCTCCTAGGACTGATATGATAATGACAGAGACCCATTCAAGGGTATTGTAAGAAAAGTTAGGTGTGATACAGTATATACAGCTAGAAGTTGCTAATGTTAATGTCAGTTTAAAATACTATGAGGTTTTGAGATGGACAGTAACTCCACTATCCCAAGAATGTGAGAGCTCTTCCAAAATCAGGCCTGTGGCTTTGGTTAGTGGTTAGGACGCTGTGCATTATTGCCAAAAGTCATTTTTTTAATTAGATCCAGAAGTCTATAATGAAAATTCCGTGTCTGAGGCAACATATTGCACAAATTTACAGAGATGACTTTGGAATTGTGTTCTCCTCATCAACAAAGACAATGATAAGAAAAGTGGTCTGATTTAGTTTAGCACCAAGCATGACATCCGTACTTTCATCTTAAATATGTCTTCATGCCAGGAGGCTGAGATGACACTGTGGGGAAAAAGAATATCACACTTTTGAATGAAATGAAGCAAAGTGAATGATCACTTTATACACTTTATATTAGCATTACTTACCGAACCATTCCTTTATCAGTGTAATACCAGATTTCTGAAAGCAGTAAGGGTCTAAAGACAACATCACTTGTGCTTTACTCAGTTTGGCTGTGTACATTTGGTGCTGAGCTCAATTTAAGGTTTATAAGTGTTGTAAATTTTATGCACAACATGTAAGCATATAATATTTATATATTCATAATAATATTTTAGAACATTGCATCTCAGAGAGATTGACAGTTTGCAAATCTGGTTCAAGGTTGTGTATATATGCACTGTGTCAGCATGGAGCTTAATGTGAGTGAACCTGGAATTGTTTATCCTCCACAAACCATATTCATACACAGATATAAAGACTGTTGTACCTCTGTTCTCTTTGCTTGGGTATATTCTTGGGAAGGGCTTGAACTCTTCAGGAGGAGGGAAGTCCTCAATTGGGTGGAACTGAAACTTAGATTCAAAGTCATCTAAAAAAAAAAGTAATGATTATGAAAATAATGAATGTGGCTTGGTATGAAAGCAATAATTAGCATATTAATTCTCTCACTCAGTGTTACATACAGTAGCTCACTTTATCAGATGTGATGGTAAAGTGGCCAATCAGTTACATTAACTGTTAAACTGCCAACTATTATAAAATCCACAACCAGACTTCAGTCTGAAGTCCTACTTTGAATACAACCTGAGTAAAGGATGCTAAGGTTGCTATAGCAACAGAGGCATGTTTTTCTGATCTTGTGTGCTCACTAATGCTAGCTTGCGTTAGTAACAATTCTGTTTTCTTGATCCAATTTAATTTTAATTTTAATTTCTTAATTATTATTAGGGAGTTTACCGAGGCTGTGCAGGAGTCCGTTCCTCAATGAGCTGGGTGGAGCTGGAGGCAGAGGTGGGGGTGGAGGTGGGATTCTGCAGGACAATTCAGTGGTAGGAGAACGGGCAGGTGGAGCAGGGGGAGGAGCCAATCGGCCAGCACCTGCAAATTAATCATGTTTACAGGACACCTTGTTAAACCCAAGCTAAATCAAAGGCAATTTCAATCAGGACTGCATGATATGAACAAAATATCATATTGCAAATCCACTGCTACGTATCTCAGTTACAATTTACCTTGTGATTAATTACACAATGTGAACCACCGTTGTGACACAGTTAAAGACTGGCCTGCATTATTTTGTCAAACATTATTTACATTTTTGGGCCTTGATTCATGGAATGTTTGTGACTGATCAGGAAGCTTACAGCACACAATAAACCATTTTGTGATTGGTTAGAGCATTTAAAGAGCACTGAAATTAGTATTGCAAAAGCCAATATTGTAACAACAGTTAACAAACAATCTCCCAGAGGAAAAATTTATTGCTTAAATGTTCCTTGTTGATCGCCCAGGAGACTTAATGATAATTCTCTTAAAATTAGACAAAAAGGAATGAGATAAAGGTGAGATAACAGTTCAATCGAAGTGTCAGTATCTTGGCAAATCTGAGAACAATGTTAGATCTCCACTAAACCTCAAAAGCAGACATGTGAGGTTACTGAGGTCTTTTGCTCAGGAGAAATATCTGAGCAGCAGAAGACTTAGTCTCCTTTTTCTTTCTATATGATCCTATTGTAGTCTAGGAGGAACTATATTAAGGAAATAATTTTTGATTTTTCTTTCATGTGGGATATTGAGCAGCCTTAGTTTCATCATTAGTACAGCAGGTCATCTACAAGATGCTAAGGCCAGTCTTTATCTAACAGAGTGTCCTTATCCATTATAATCCAGGCAAAGAAACTTTAATGACAGAAACCTAAGTTCCTCCAGAATGAGACTGTACCTGCACTCCTGGGTACTGCAGGGGGCCTCCGGCTGGGCGCAGTGCAGGGGTAAGAGGGGGGCAGTGGGGGAACTGAAGGCCTGTATGATGGTGGGGGTATGGTTGGTGCTTTAGGAGGCAGTGGTGGTGGAGGTGGGGGTAGAGACGAGGGAAGACTGGGCGCAAAAGATGCAGGCAGAGGCGGAGGAGGAGGTGGAGGAGGAGAGCCCAACTGACTGTCCCTGCAGTTCCCAAACTTAGTGTCTGATAGGACTAGAGATGGAGGTGGGGGGTAGAAGAACCCAGATGACCTATCAGGAAGCAAGGAGGGAGGGGCTGAGGGAGGTGGGGGCGGAGGCGGAGTTGTGGGCATAGGGATAGAGTGTGATTGGACAGGTAACCAGGTGGGCTTGGTGATTTGGGAAGGAGGGGGCGGAGGTGGACAGGAAGGGAGAGGAGGAGGTCTGTTACTGGCCCGTTCTGGAAAAAGTGATAAAGGAGGAGGTGGAGGAGGAGGAGGTGTGGAGGTGGGCGCAGAGGATGGAGGCTTAAAGCTTGGAGGTGCAGGCTGGCTGGGGGAAGGTGGAGCTGTGTACGAGGAGGCAGGGCGTGCTTTAGTGAGAGAGGAGGACCTTTCTAAAGGTCTGTGGGAAGGAGAGAGGTCTGGGGTGCTGCGCCTTAAACTTTCTCCCTGAGATGGCAGGTTCCACAGCGGCTGCTTCAGACTGGCAGAGGAGCCAGATCGAGACACTGACAGACAAACAAACAAATAAACATACTCACAAAGAGGGACAGAAACACACAAACTTCAGTTCTACCATGTCCTCTTATCACCTCTATCACCAGGAGAGCTGCAAATAATGATGATTTCTGTAAGTGATTAACCTATCAATTATTACTTTTTCCTAATGAACTATTATCAACTACAAGATCGTAGGCTAGTCCTTGTGTAACAGATAGCCGTCTTCTGTTATTATTGGTTCCTTCAGTTCCTCTCACTTTGCCGCCACTGACATTTAACTAAAGGACAGAAGCTATTTTGCTCCCCTGTGTTTCAAGGATTGCATTGCAATCTGTCAGGATTATTGCCTGAATCAAAACCTCATATTCCTGGAATGTAAACTTATATAGAAGTAGGAAAAACACTCTTAACATTACTATACAATGATATAACAAAACTTTATTCACTTTATTGGACTATTTCTGATGACATTAAATGTTTACACAACATAAACGGTGTAAAAATAGTAATAATGTAATGAGTAGAGCTGGCCTGAATAATTAGAATACTCAAGCACTTGTTATTCAATATGTTGGCATTCTTTCTCTATTTAGTATTCAGATGCTTTGCCTTTTTAAGCCACCAAAATTGTAAAATCGTAAAACAAATTTAATTAATAAAAGCCTTTAGATAGGACAGTTCTGACTAATATATGGAAATGTTAAAGAAATATACATGTATATACACTAAATGGACAAAAATATTGGGACACCTACACATTACACCAACAGAAGCGTTTATGACATCCCATTCCAAATCCATAGGCATTAATATGGAGTTGGTCCTCCCTTTGCAGCTATAACAGCTTGCCCTTTTCTGGGAAGGCTTTCTATAAGATTTTGGAGTGTGTCTGTGGGAACTGTTGCCCATTCATCCAGAAGAGCATTTGTGAGATCGGACACTGATGCTGGATGAGAGGGCTTGCAACCTCTGTTCTAGGTCAGGGCTCTCTGATGGCCAGTCAATTTCTTCCACACCTAACTCACCCATGCCTTCACTGACCTTGCTTTGTGCACTGGGGCTTCAGTCATGCTGGAACAGAAAAGGGTCTTCCCCTTTTTTATTTTATTCACCTGGCAATGGGTGTACCTGAAATACCTGAACTCAATAATTAAGAGGTGTGTCTCAATACTTTTGTCTATATAGTTTATATACATTTTCTCTTATTCTTCTTTCTTTTCTAATTAAACATTTTTTACTGCAGGTATAAATTTGACAGCACAAACAGCAGATCTGTTTATTGAAACAAAATCACAATTACAAGTTTTCACTGCTGTGTCAGAGAAGAGTCTCTTCCACACACTGTTAGTACAGCACAGGAGCTGCTCTTAAACTGCCACAACAACAAGGTAAATTATCATTAGTACATTATTATTTTAAATATAGTTTATAACACTATAGAAAGTGAGTGTGTGATCTGACTGGATCTCTGTTTCATTCATGTGTAGTTGAAAAAACAGGCTTGCATTTTGACAAAGTTAAGACACATATCTAGCCTGTAACGCACCAAAAATAAAAATCCATGTCTACACTTTTTTATGTCAACCTCTGAACAATACAACAGTGTATTAGGACTAGATGGGGTTAGGGCTGGGCGATAAAATGACAACGATAATTATCGTGATATAACTTTTCCTCGATTGAGCGATAATACATGTTCGATAAATGTTCGATATAATACACCATTCTCACACTTCCGGAGTTATACGTTCCCTGTTTGAGTGGAGCGACAGGCGATCTGTTCTCCTGTGACCGAGTGTGAGTGATGAGATAAGTGGCATAACTGTACTGTCCTACAGTGAACTCACCTCTTTCCTAACATCCTAACCAGCTTTAGCAGCGTTAAATCACAACCCTCACAACTACAGCTCTGTTACAGCGCTCGGACAATCATATTTAAGTATTAGTGCATTCCCAAGCAACGAAAGTGAAAGAAAGAAGTGGGTTCATGTAAATTACAGCCCTGATTTAAACGAAAGTAAACTGAGGAAGCTGTGAGGCACTGGAGAGCGGGAGAGTGCTAGCTTTCCAGGCTAGCTGTTCTTAACAGCTGGCTAACTTGAAGCAGCGCTCTTTCACTCGCACAGCATGGCGAATTGATGATTCTGTAGATCAAACACGACACAAAAGCACCGCTTTCAGTTTAAACGTACCTAAAAAGAGGACTCTGTTTGTCTGGTGTTAGATATATTGCGGTTCACCACTTAAACTACTACGATAGTATAGAGAAATCCAGTTGTCGCCAGCTGGTGTCTGAATACTGTGATGTCATTTGTAACGGGGTAGCCGAGCGCTCGTCACCAGCTAAAAATAATCTGTTTTCTTTCTTAAATTATGACTATTACAAAATAGCCATGCTTTTCCAGCTGTAAAAACAGCTCAGCAGACACTTTCTCCCACTCTCCCGTGACAGATTTGTGAAATGTTCCACTGTTTGGCGAGTGTTTGTCGTGTTCCGACCATAAAGTTTAAAACAGCAAGTAACCACCCAGGAGCAAAAATCAGCCTTCAAACTTGAAAGAAATAAAGATATGACATTTATCGCGGTATGTATTGATATCAAACAATATGAATTTTGTTTATCGTGATAACATTTTTGGCCATATCGCCCAGCTCTAGATGGGTTACCTGAACTGTGGTGTGAGCTTTTGTCTCTCTGTCCAACTGGCCTGAGGACAGGAAACCCTCCAGCAAAAAGCCCACTCAAAGTGGGTCCCTGTGCAGGTGGTCCACTAGAGCCTCCACCACTCCCACTGCCATCCACACTGCTCACTTTGGGCTCTGGAGATTAATGGGTATACACACATACAACAGCCAGTTGGTTAGGGTTTAATATCTAGCACCCTTCCCTGAATTCTGTTTCATCTTCATTCCCTCACTTCTCTCCATCTGTCTGTAGTCTGTATCTGCTGCTCTGCATTCCTTCCTATAATGACACGTGTGAGTGAGAGCCACTGGTGGACCTTGGCATTAAATATAGCTCTGTCACAGATAAGCCAGGACTTATCAGCAGACAGAACCCTCTCCCTCTCTCCTCTCTCCCCATTCTCACTGTATGAATCAGTCTTTTACACATCTTCACATTTGAGTAATTATGCAGATGTGGTGCAGACTTCTAGGCTGACACAACATTTCTGACCTTAGCCCAGGAATGTGTACCACTCATGTAGAACTGAAACAGTACTCTAAAACTCTTGTAACACAGGTTATTTGTTAACTGGTTTTTCAGGTCACCAAGAAACAACTTCACTAATGACTCAGAGAGCGTGATCTAACACTGTGATAAAAAGGCAGAGCTGCCCAAACTATCAAATCAGACAGTCTAGATGTTTTAGTTTTCCAGATGTAAGATCATGCAGTCTAAACCAGATCATCTGACCAGGCCCTGACACACAAACAGAGTCAAGCCTGTAAACAAACTGATTGAGCTCAAGTGACCATAACTTCATTCCTTCAACTGAATCACATAAACCTGGCAGATTTAATGTGAGATGTTTTAATTTGGACTCACTGTCGAGAACAGGGGCGCTGCGGTCATTGACCTGAGTGACCTTCTTCAGTCTGATCCCCTTATGTATGTCTGCAAGGAGCGCACTGCGACCTCCTCCCTCAGAGTGCTGGATTTTAGGAGGCTCAGATTGTGTCTGGAGGAGAAAAAGAGAGAGAGAGAGAGAGATGAGTGAGTGAATTTATGATAGCTGTTATGACACTAACACGTCGGCAAGAATATACTCAAGATTCATTTCACATTCAAGATGTTGAGAGTGGGGAAACAAGTATTCAGACACTTTTGTTTTTGTTATTTAATATCCTTCCAGCAGCATTAGTACTTTGTTGCAAAGCCAATGTTGGCAGTTACTGCTTTGAGACATCTATAGTAAGAAGTAATTAGCTTTTTGCAGCATTGTGGTTCAATTTTGACACATTATTCTTGGCAAACCATCTTCCACAAGGTTACGAGAATCCCTCTGATAGACTCTTTTCATAATTTTAAAATCCTCCATAAATTTTCAGGACTTCAGGCAGAAACTAGTCTTGAGTTATTTTGGCTGTATGTTTGGGGCCATTGTCTGATAGAAATGTTTGTTTTCTCCTTAGATTCAGTTTATTGGTCGATGAGGTTAAACTTTCCTCTAATATGTCTTAGTATATTTCCTTCAATTGTGTGTAATGCCCTAATAATAGCAGCCTTATATCATGATGTTCCCACCTCCATACTTCCATACGCTGTGGGCATGTTGGTCTTGGGATCATATGCATGTCTGTCTTTTTCCAACAAACACAACCAGTCGAATTATTGCAAAATAGTTCTATTTTTGTTTTATCTAACCAGAGTACATTGTTCCAAAAGAGCTCTGATTGTCTAAATACTTTAGCAGACAAGTTCTACATGGGTTATAAGAACTGAAATAATCACAGTGTAGTTCATTGCTTGTTGCCCTATGTCTCTGTGTAACTGCTGTTCCTGCTGCCTTCAGGTCATCCTGCAAACTTTTTCTTTGCAACTGTTTCCATTTTTGTATTGTTTATTAATGTTGTCTCTGAGAACTTTAGAATGCTCCTTCACCTTAGCCGTAATTGCTACTTGTTGCATGAAATCTTCCCAAACAATGGTAGTGTGTACTATAATAACACCAGATGCAATGTGCACAAGAACCTTTCTTGCAGCATTAATATCTAGAATTGATGTATTTAAAAGTACTTTTCCCCCCCTCACTGTAGCTAAACATTAACTTTTGAACTCCGGGCTTTTTAATCAGTTAATAGTTTTAAGACAGACTATTCACTGAACTACTATGAAACTCCTAATTTAAACATACATATACAGTGTGGACCCAATCTAAAAACCTGTTTCCCAGATGTCCCTCCAGTGGAGTTTACAGCCTTCTTAACAGCTCTTCATGAGCTTACTAGACCAAAAATCTTTCACATGCATGATGTTCCTGTCCATTTTAGCCCGCTCCTTCAGTATCTTTGTGCTTCATGTACAAAGCAGAACACAACACTGACACTCTCAATGTGAAACAGCTCTCAATGTGAAACAGCAGGTGAAATGTTAAAATAGGCACACCTATTTTGGCTGAAACGTGCACCCAGTTTATAGCAGAATGGGCTAAAAAGGACAGGAAGAGACCGGAGCATTACTAACTTGACAGGACTGGTTATGAAGGCATTTTTTGTCCAGTGAGCTTATCTGTACTTTTTCTACAGTACCACCAATGGCAACACAGATGTATACATTTTATACATCTATCTGAAACCTAAACATTCCAAACTTCTGAATAGTAGTTTAGCATATAGTATATTGTGTTTTTATTGTGTGTTTATCCTCTGTTCTGATTTATGTTGTTTGACTGTTACATTCTTATGTTTTAATTTTATTACTGCTTTCATTTTAATATTGACTTGATATTAGTAATAGTTTTCACATGCTGTTTAAAGGTTCTATTATGAGGTCTCCTATCATTTGCTATTGTACAGCATCTTTAGGTAACTTCAAAGGTGCTTATAAATGTATTGCAGTGTTCAGAAGGACCAGAGGTGGCACTGTGCAGAGAGAGAGTTAAAAAGGAGGCATGAATTACCCATGAGAGACTGTAGAGAGCCAACTCTGAAAATGTGACACCACTGAGTGCCGTCTGCCCCAGCGTGTGTGTGTGTGTGTGTGTGTGAGTAATTTTATCTCTAATTAATAATGCAGGTCTGTCCAGGTGGTTCACAGGAGGAATGTGGCAATATGAAGTGACAGAATGGATGTGTGTGACTGTGAAAGTGTACATACACATGCACTGTTGCATGTCTGTGGTTTATCTGTTGGTTTGTGTGTATGTTACCTGTAATTGAGCTGGTGGGGGTGGTGGCGGAGGTGCTGGGGGAGGTGGAGGTGGAGGGACAGGCATGGCTGCCTTTGAAAACCTGTAAAATATGGATATAGTAAACCACTCATGTATACCTCATAATCCCCCACACTAACTTTATATGGCATCCTCAGGTTTTACTTGTTTTGAATTCTCCATGCACTAATTTGATCTGACAGCATTACTCTATAAGGGTTGTACATTTCTGACCTTTGTTTGATTTGATTGTGATTGTGATCTTTTGTAAACAATTCAATTCATTATGACACCTCAAGTTTCACCAATTCAGTTTGATTAAATTATTTTGGTGTGACTTAGAATTCTTTTAAAAACATATTGAACTCACTAACATGATTTACACAGGAGTGGAATATAGACAATAAAAATAATATGCCCAAGATAAACCCTAATTTTATGATTTCCTAAGGCTTCCTGTATAGGCCTGAAAATCAATGCCAATACAATACAGTGCTTCACATTCACAACAATAAAATTAGAGGATCTCTTCTCAGTCATAGTCCTGTAGATTCTAATATCTTAGATTTTGAAATAGTATTCATTTATAATGCAGCTGGTTAGGCATTTCTACTGCCCCACTACTGTATCAGACACATATAATATTAAGTCTGTGATATACAGGAATGGTTCTCAAAGTAGAAAAACTGTAATATATACACTATAGACTTATTATAATCCAATCCATTTTTCTAGCATCTTCTCTAAATTTTTGCAGATGGCTGTATTTTTATCCTTTTTGAACTCGTTTTATACAGTTATAATCATAAGATTTATTACTCAGTAACTACTGAAAATTATACAGTAGCTACAGTAAAAGGTTAGGGGTTACTCATTTCCCATTAAAATTAATATTTTCCATTGACTTACATTAAAAGTAAAGTATGTAAAGTAAAGTACATTCATCATGATGGCCCAAGTTTTTATCTCTGTCCCGCTCTGTTTCTCTCCCTCTACACTGTTACACATTCCAAATGTCAGCATGGACATGCTGTGGTCCATTGTTTTTTCATGTCACAGTGACCTCCCCCACTTCTTTCTCCATGAGACTCCAAGATGTGCTTGGCAGGAAATTTGTCCATCATGAGACGTGGCCAACAGGAATTCTGCTTCCTCTCAAGGGTAAAACCAGCTACTTCTCCCACAATGGCCGACAAAAAGGTCCTGGAGAGATCAGCGCAGAAGCTGCTCTTTTACATTCTGCTTCTCACCATGCAGGCCGTAACCTTAGCCCTTTGTGAGACTGAAAACGCTGGTCTCAGAGCAGTGTTAAATGTGAACTTCTTCCAAGAGCCCGAGAGATCAGGAATCAACAATGAAGGCTGTTGTTTGGGACGTGTAGCTGCCTAACCTCTGGCGAGGCCCACGGTCTCTCAGTGGTAGAAGTGGTACATTCTGTGGGTAAATGCATAGCTGAGCAGTGCAGCAGCAGTGTCCCTAAAAAGTTGTTATTAGTTTGGAATGTGTTGAGTTTCAGTTATGTCAAGTACATAAAATTAGAGGACAGAGTTGAAAAGAACTCATGAACATGAATTTGCATTTTATTGAAACCAGGGAGCTTCTATTCATACCAGTTTGATCACACAACTTGATTCTGAGGCACACACTTAAGAATAATAGGGTTATTTGGAGCGATGCCATAAAGGATCAGTTTGGTTCCCTAGAGAACCTTGCCATGGATGGTTATGTAATGAAACATTGTCATAAATGAGACAAGTGAGTGTGAAAAACTTTTTTAAAGTTAAAAGGACCTCTTGGGGGGCCAAATGCGATGTTTGGGGAGGGCCAAGGGCCAAAAAGATGAAACAATACGGAAGTAAAGAAGGAGGTGGGTTATATATCAGGTTTTTACAATTTTTTTCTGTATCAAATTATGCCATATGTTTTGTTCCTTGAAGTACTTACAACCTAAAAGATTTTTTAAATAAGAAATTGTATAAAAAAATGTTTTATATGGGCAACTTTTTGACTTCAGTCCTGGTTTATAGCAATTAAAGGTTTTTCAATCAAACCATTTTGGAACCTTATTCAGTTTTTAAGAGTAGAGGACAGATCATGAACTTGGGGAAATCCTGTGCTTGTTTTTGTGTTCCAGGAACATCACTGGAATTGATGTGAATGGCTTACTGAAACCTTCAGCTGCACAGCCCCCAGCATAAGTTGCATAAGTTCATTGTACCGGGCCTGGAGAAGCAGCGTGCCACTTGACAACAGCCTGCTTCCTGACGACACCCGCGTGATTCCCCAGAGTCTCATTAGGAACTTACACACAGTGCTGCTCACACAGTGCTTACTGCTGAAGAAAACATGCGGAAAATCAATTGTGATGATATAATAGGGAATAATACTATATTATAAAAGAATAATTTAAAGAGAGGAGATTTATTTGCACTGGAACCAGCTAACATCCAGCATGGGAGTCTGGACTAATCAAAGGTCAGGTAAACAAAGCACACACACAGACACACACACTCCCCTCTGCCAGGTGAAATGAGCATTCTTGGAAGCCTGGAATGCCCTGAACTAAACCTGAATCAAACAGGTGCTGCCTTCAAGGACATGAGATGACAACATCCTCTCTGTTTGACTTGAGACAAAACCCTTAAGCAAGAGCAGACATCAAACCAGACTTTGGGAGTTCTCCACTAACATTTGGCTTGATAAGCCAATGGGAGTAATTTAATGGCAATAAAGCAATGACATGCAGTATAAAGATTACCGGACACTCAAAAATCACATACAAGATAACAGACACAAGCAGGGACCTCAAAAAGAAGGACATACCATACTGTTTGAAACGATAAGAGCATAATACTTCGATTAATGAGGTAACTTGTCAGAGTGACCAACAGACTGTTAGCCTAATAACAGTTATTAACTGTTAGTGGTCGTACTTTTCATGTTATAAATGTATTTTCTTCTCTCAGTTTAACCAGCACTATGACTGACACTCGCCCACAGGTGACCAACTGAAACTGTAGGAAAGCCCACCCTGAACTAACGGTTCTGTTCATGAGGAAAGCCTGTGTAATGTAATCTGTTCACTATGTGTGCTGTCCGAGCTTGAATGAAGGGATAGTTTACCTCAGTTAGCAGGCGAAGGCTAAACTTCTCTCAGCTCTTCTCTCTCAGCGCTGCTGTGAGGCTGTGACCGCATAGCGCGCGCGCTGACCCGTGAGATACTGTTACTGCCGCCGAGCTCCGGTTAAAATTAGACAACTGCCATTCAAAACTTTACCACGGTCAGGCGTCCGCTTCTCATTTACGCTCCCCGAACTGAAAACTCATCTTCTTATTCGGCTTCAGCTATAAAAGAGACATAATAATGATGCGCGTGGCCCAAAACAGATAAATCAGCCCTCTGTCCGGCGCGTACAGCCAGTTCAGCGGTAAACTCACTGCCCGTCATTCAGTGCTGAACATCAGACTCCACTCAGAGCCGTTACCCACTCTGAACGCACGACGACAGCGTAACGCCATACGCAAATGAGATGACAAGAGGGCGGAGCTCCAGAGTCTTGCTGTAATATATAGCAGTGGTGGCAAACCACTCTTAAAGTCTTCAAGGGTGCTTTAGTAGAGGCAATGGTTCTGTGTAGAGCTATGAGTTCTATATAATGGTTCTTTACATGGTGAAATGGTTCTTAAGACTGATGGAGAATGTTCCTTTTTGAAAAGGGTTCTATTATTACAAGCTTGACTTCGTAACAATTGCAGATGTTATACAGAACCATTTTCAACAAGGATATATATAGAACCATATACAGCATGTTCTCCATCAGTCTGAAGAGCCATTTCACCAAGTAAAGAATCATTTGAGCATGAAATTGTTCTATATAGAGCTCATAGTTCTATACAGAACCATTGCCTTAACTAAAGAACCCTTGATGAACCACCTTTTTAAAGTGTGTAGCAAAGCACTGCAAGGGTTACAAAATAGACTGATGCTTCTTGTGAATGGATGTTGCAAACTGAATTTTAAATATAAGGCACAAAACTCTGAGTTCGTGGAACAACCATCTGGAACTTCTTACTATATCCAACATCTATCAGCTTAGGAGGTGAAGTTTGTTAGGAGCAATTTTTCTCTTTTTGTGGCATATTCCACCGAAAATAACCATTACAATATAAAAATAAAATATAATGCAAAAGCTCCCGTGCTGAAAAATACATAAACGATCAAAAGTGTCTGGTGGTGAATAATAAATATATTTGTTTTTCAGTTAAGTGTCTCCAGCTACTACTCATTTCTCTGTCCAAGCGACCAAGGAATATTAGTAAACTGACCACTGTCCACTACTACATTTTCCTGGCCAGTCGATCACATTCTGTGAACTTCATCCAGCCGAAAGCTCGCCTTCTTTATTTTCGTTCCTGACTGGCCAAGGCAAACTGTGACCGTCAGACAGAATCTGTGATATGATTGGCTGATGCAACAAATGATTGGCGGTGGCTCAGCCCAGTTCTGTGTGCTCGCAAACGGGCTCGACCTCTAGCGGTGGAGAGAGAGAGAGAGAGAGAGAGAGAGAGAGAGAGAGAGAGAGAGAGAGAGAGAGAGAGAGAGAGAGAGAGAGAGAGATTAAATCTAATTAAATCTAATCATAATTAAACCGTATTGATTATGTTAGCCATTAGCCACATGTAGGCTATTAACAGCATACAATATAGTTACTAGCTTTTCCCTTGTGCTTTATAAAGCATTAATTTATTTTAGGGGCACCCACTTAAATGTAGCCATTTTTTTATACATGTAATTTTTTGTTTGTTTTTGGAAATATATCCACATTAGAGCGGATAAAGGCCACTGGTGTAGTCTAAATCTGAAGATAGCACCCCTGTAGAGAGCCTATTTTAGGCCTCCTCAGGGAGGAAGGAGGGAGGGAGGGGAAGGGAAAGAGAGAGAGAGAGAGAGAGAGAGAGAGAGAGAGAGAGAGAGAGAGAGAGAGAGAGAGAGAGAATGCTGTGACACAGGGTGGATCAGGCCTAAGGATGACAGCCGTGGGCAAAGTGACAACTATTAAGCACAATAATACAGTTTTAAATACTGTAGCTCTAATAACATCTCATTCATGGCCAGTCTAGCTGCTCCACCCATTATAGTGATTACATTTTCACAGTTGTGAACAGAAGCCTATAGTCTGCACGCAAGCACTGTCTTGTACTGCTAGATATGAGCACAAGCCAAGCATATGAAAGGATGACCTTTTATTGTAATCCAAAACAGTATTTGTGTTTATTCAAAGTTCTTCATATACAGAGTTATGCATTTCAAAGACCTGATCACAATGGCAGGAGTGCAATGTTATGTCTTGTCATGTAAAGAGTTTCAAATCTGAAATATGTTCAAGCTCAATATGATATTAATGTTGCTTTTCACTTTTTTTCTTTAGTTATTTGCTTATAGTCCAGATTTTTATGTCTGTTGTACGTGGCCTTTTAAGACTACAGACCTAATACATAAAACACAATAAATGCATCTGGCCCACTTCCATATGTCAGTACTTCTGATGTCTTTCTTTTATCCCTGCTTACTGGGCTGTTTTCTTAGCATACCTGCTCCATCATTTCAAATTCACTAACAGCGTCTGACTCAGAAAATTATATATTTGGTAGCCAATGTAAAAATAATGTGTTCAGAAATCCTCTTATGAGTTTATTGGCACTTTATCAGTCTTGGCCTCACTGCAGATGTTCATTGTGGAAATATTGAGCAATCTCTTTACTTAACATGCATTGAGAGATGCATCCAATTTCACTCATTCTTCAATCATTTATTATTTATATTTATATAAATATATTTATATTTATTAAAATCTACTTAGTATTCACCTGTAACTGTCATTATATGAACCAAGCAACTATTCTTACATTGTTCTTCTGTAGATTGATTAAAACTTCATGATAAAATCTTCATTTTCTTATAAGAAAGACTTTTTCCAGTCTTTCTCATAACAGTCATTCCACCTTCATACAAATATAATGCATATATTATATAAAATCCTTCATAAAGCAAAAAGAAAAATCCAAAATGTATCAAGTGAACTTTTAACTAAAACATAAAAAAATACACTCATAAAAATGAAGGTGTCAAAAAAAAAAGAGTTCTTTGCACAATGCCAAAGAAGAACTATGTTCGGTTCTCTAAAGAGCTTTACAAATGGATGATGCATTAGAGAACCATTGTTGTAAATGAGATGTGTGAGTGCAAAGAACCTTTTTAAAGTTTAAATAACCTCCACATAACATAAAGAACACAATGTGAAGGTCATTTGAACCATGTATCACACTCAAAAATCTTTTTCTAACATGGTTCTTTAGGGGCTTTTCTATGGCATCACTCAAAGAACCTTTTGTGGCACCTTTTTTAAGTTTAAGTGTACACTGTTAGAAATAAAGGCACTGTGCTGGCACATTTCTCATTCATCAAGGCACAAACAATGTAAATGTACCCTCAAAGGTACAACAGTGGTTTTAAGGTCTAATTGTGTACTTTAAATACGTTTCCCCCCATGGAAAGATACATATCTGTACCTTTTCGTAACCTAATGTTTTAAAACACAACAATAAAATAAAAATATAATATAATTCCATGACCAAAGGTACTGAGATATACCACCCCAGTGACAAAAGGGGTACTGCCCCAGTGATAGTTTTGTACCTTTTTTTTTGAAAGTGCAATTTTCACAAATGTTACTTTCTTTTAGAAGGTTCTCTGCTCGCATTTGTTTATGTCAGCACCCTCTGCATCTAGAGAGCAAAATGGCAACTATTTTACTTCATATCAATATTTTACTTGATATCAATATATTGCATCTTCATTTCTTATGGGCCAAAAGTCTGTAGTACAAATTACAATAACTTAAGTGCAACACTTCAGTTCCTCAGGGGTAAAAAGCAGTTTAACAGAGTGACTTTGTCCACTGTAAATCCTTGAGGTTATCTGTTCCTGCAATTCTCTTCATAGTGATGGTCCCCTAGTAGCAGTGTATGGTCTTGTAGCACTCCTCCCCTGCACATTTTAAATGTTTTACCTGCTCTAATACCCCCACACTTGTTAAAATAAAGGTGCTAAAAAAAGGTTCTTTGAAAGAGTTCCTACAGGAGTCACTAAAGAATTTTGAAAGGATAGTTCTTTAAAGAACCATTTTGTAAATGCAAGTGTGAAGAAGCATTGTGAAGTCTGAAGAACCTCAGAAGGTTCTGTGGCAGTTAAAGCTATTATCCTTCTAGTTTTAAGAGTACACTGCATCTCATGAATGCTGAATCAGAGTATTAGAGCAAAGAAAACACTAGAATATGCAGGACAGGGAGTACGCCAGGACCAGGATTGGGAACCATGGTCTTCTAGTCAGCGTGGGGACTGTGTCTCTCCTTTACCTGTAGGATTTTGTGAGTCTTCGTAGTTTTGCGGCAGGCTAACGCGCATGTGCCGTTTCTCCTTGAAGCGGCCCGAGCGGGACACGCGCAGATTTCGACGGCTTGTGCCCTCACCGAATGTGGGCTGTACGGCTGAGTCGTCATATGTGTCTTCGTTTGACAGCGTGGTGCCCCCTGGCGCCTGCTGCTGAGGCTGTGGAACCTTCTGCTGCTCTGGCTTGGTGGGGCTCTCCTTCGTGGTAGACGTGTTGGTAGTGACAGTTGCCGAGGCAGCATGGGCTACCAGTTCTTGTTCCAACATGGCTGCTGACTCTCTGGCCGCCTTCCTTCTCTTCCCCGCAAACGACCTCCACCAAGGAGCAGTTTTCTCTGTCATTTTTTCACACCCTGGGTACAAACAGGCTACTGTCATCATCATGTCATGCAAAAGGTAAATAGTTTCTTTAGGGTACAGTTGGTACACTTGGTTAAAGTTCATCAGGTTCAGAATTCAGGCCTACCTGTGGTGAACAACTATGTCAATGGTTCCCAACTGTGGTCCTGTCATGACCCTTATCATGAATATCAATGGTGTTTTCCCTGCTCTAACACACTGCCTTCAAATGAGGGCGGATTGGTTAATTAGCTGACTTTCTGAACTATAGTGAGTAACAAGTCCTTCCCGAGTTGACATGGGGTAGAGTAAGGTTAGAACAGGGAAACTGCTAAATTCTAAGATGTGTAGGGTAGGGGTACTTCTAAACCAGAGCTGGGAACCTCTGAAATATGTATATATATGATTCTGTTGTTCTCAGAACTAAACCTTGTATCTCCAAAATGGCAACTTTACAGGAGAAGGAAAATACTTAGTTTACTGTTAATGTAAGTCAATGGAACCAGACTTTTTTCCAAGTCATTTTGGGTCATTTCTTTTGGTCCATTCATTATGAAGTTTACACACAATGTAAAAGTCAACAGGCATTTTTGAATTATGTCAAAAACAGCAGCGATGTTTTGTTTTAACTTAAAAATACTTAAATACTTTTAACTTATAAATATTTTTTACAGTGTACCTAAAAGGTACATTCGGCCAAATGACAAAAGCATCTCTACATGTGTTTTAAACATGCCTACTTGCCTCTTACAGTGCCGCTGCCGTAGTCTCTAGAATGACATCTTCCTATTTAAAGGCTAATTTTGAAAGTGCCTTGGGGTGAATACCTGAGGAATGGCTCTTTATTTATTTATTTTCCCACTAGCTGGCTGAATTCTACCTTTAACATCTGATGACCAGTTGATGTTAGCTCTATTACTAATGCTAGCTAGCACCACAGATGTATTTTTCAGCCTCTAAATCAGTGGCTAGCAGTCAGGACTTGTTGCGTGAATCCCAAATGTTGTGTGATGTTTTTTTGCGTAATGCATGCTGGGAATTGTAGTGAGAGAACACTGATGGAAGAAAACACAAAAATTATACAAAATTGTGAATTCTGTTTAACAGATAAGGCTGAGTGGTTCAATGCCGTACTACAGAATACTAAATAACCCAACAAATTCTAGTTGTAGGCCAGGAAATCTCTTTAACCAAGTGTTGGCATGTTGACCAAAAAGCAACACTTAAGATTCAGCAGCATTTTATTAAGGCTCAGTAGGTTTAATAGTATAAGTTGGCAGTGGTAAAAACCGTTTACTGCTGTTTTTCTTGGTTATTGGGTAACAGAAGATGATGTTGTTCACGTAATTTAGTGTCTGTCAGCATGGCTACACTTGGTTAAGGTTCAGAAGGTTCAGAAGTCTAAGCTGTCTGTGGTGAGCAACTTTCACTGAACTACTGAGCACTGCTTTTACAAACTACATTACAAACTCCATGTGGTTATGGGCTACAGATCCACAGACGTTCACCTCTTTTGGTGACTGTCACTGTCAGCATGGCTCAACAGTGGTTAGTCCATTAACCCATCTGAGTAGGTTAGTAAATCTGTTTTTGTAAACAGAAATGCTGTTCACCACGTCTAAACCTGCTGAACCTGAACCAGGTGATAGCCTCCAACTTCTTTTGATGACGGTTAGCACGGCCACAGTCCCCCTGAGGCTTTTGTTTGTTGCTAAACCCCCTTGAGGCTTTTTATAGGCAGTGATTCACACTGCTAGAACGAAGCTGCTCATCTGCTTCAGCGACTCACCTGGATGTGGTAGGAGAACACGAGAAGGGCTAAAAAAACACCCCAGCTGTGGAGTGTGAGGAGCGAGAGAGAAATGAAAGTCCGAACGGGCTGACAGGTATGGCAGGTAGGCTGCCCCGGTGCTCGCTCAGCCCTCAGCTGCTGGAGAAACTGGAGAAACCACCACGCGTCATATTTAGTCTTCTCTGAGTCCACACTCCTCATAAACGTAGAGTTACAGCGTTTTTAGGAGTTCTCTGTCTCAGCTGAACTTTCTCCACCAAAAATAGTCAGGAGTGATTTTTACGCCTCTCCGGTTTTGAGACTTTATAGCGTCGTCGTGTTTTACTCCAGTCTTCAGATTCCACCTCCGAAACTGGCACGAGCGCACCTGCTCTGTGTTTCCATTGGACGAGCAGCACGAGGATCGGTCACGTGAGTGGGACTCAGGTAGGCCCGAGTGAAGCGGTGGGCGGGGCCTGAGCGGTTGCCTCGGTAACGCACCGCGAGTCTCTTTCTTCCCCTCGGCGAAACTTTTTCTTCTCTCTCCCTCCCTCTCTCTCCCTCCCTCTCTCTCCCTCTCCCACTCTCTCTCTCTCTCTCTCTCTCTCTCTCTCTCTCGCGCGTTAGGTGGGGAGCATTCTTCAGCGCGTTAAACAAATGAACCCAACCCTTTACTACAATGTCGGCGGCTATTGAGAGTCTTCATGCTGCAGTTTATAAAAGCAGCCTCGCTAAAGTCCGCCGTCATCATCTCTGACGTGCGCTTTAGGAGCTGTCGAAAGCTGCTTTAGTCGAGGTTTTGAGCGCTGCTGGCTGACCAGCCGCCGCTAAACAGTTATAACGTCACTTCCACATCGTTAGCTGCTCAGGCTACGGTAAACACAAGGGCTTTATTCTGTTTGGCCGTGCTGAATGCAGAATGCGGTGAGTGGGCTAGAGCTGCAGCGCTGCTGTGTTATTTCTGACACGACTATGAATGACTGAATAGACTGACTGCTGGCCTGGCGTGCAGTATATCAGACATAAGATATGCTTTTAGCCTGCTTCTGTTGTATGTTATAACTCTGTTAATGTTTTTCCAACTATGAATGGGATTTTAGACTGTGACTGAGGTTTCCGTCTGTATAACTCACTGAAAAACTGTGAAAAAGTTGAGTCAACTTAAAATTTACTTTACAGCTTTTTAAAAAATTTGAGCCAACTAGGAACAATTAGAGTTCATCAATACCCCCAGGACAAACTGACTTTTAAAAGCTGTGAAATAAGTTGCTTTAAAATGGTAAATTTTTTTTAGAGTGTACACATGTACATACTGTAGCCAGTTTAAAGTTGTAAGAGATACCACCAACAATAAAGCATTACTTCATATACATTTCAACATATATGTGATATTTTTGACAGAAAAAATGGCTTGCATTTGTTCAAGTATAAATTCACCTTAGAAATCAATGAAACACAGGGTACGTAGTGTAGATTGTGCATGTAATATTAACTACTTCTGGGACTTAAGAACAGGACAGGTTGGCCACATTTAATATTTTAGGTCAACTGGCTTTTTGAATTCTGGGCTTTTACTTTTCAAATCATTATATTACACCAAGATCCTTCCATATTTTGCTCCAACAGCAACAATCTCCATGTATATACTCTCCATATGGACATATATAATAATTCCAATAACTCCAAATACACAAGTTATACTGCTATAAATAAAAGTGTATGCAAATAAATTTAACAAGCCTCTCTCTCTCTCTCTCTCTCTCTCTCTCTCTCTCTCTCTCTCTCAGTCTCTCTCCCCCTCTCTCCTGTAAGTGGCATCTCCCCATAAGTGACATCAACATTCTTAAACTATAGGCTGAAAGACAGACAGTTATTAGTCCATCACAAAGATATTTAAAGACTGTGTGAGGGATTCCCATGTCCCTGTGGTTTACTCTTGCAACATGCCCTGTCACTCATGGCTGATCCTGACGTAAGTTTGCTGTTGTACAGACGACTGAAACACTGACAGTTTCAGTGGTGCTGGCAGCCAAGCATGTTCCACAGCTTTCACTTCACCACAGTGACCATTCAAAAGATTATGGTCAGTTTCCTTAATTCAGCTATATGTCTTCTCCTCCCTCCCTCTCTGTCTCTGTCTCTCTCTGTCGCTGTCTCTCTCTCTCTCTTTCTCTCTCTCTCTCTCTCTCTCTCTCTCTCTCTCCCTCTCTCTGTCTTTCTGCTCTTCTAAGTATTCACATTCCACACATTCCACTCATTGACATGCCCTCTGTAAGTGTTTTTTCTGTGTTTATCTCTGTCGAGGTTCTTCCTGTATATTGTATCTTCACTCATATCTGTCTCTCATTGAAGAGGAGGTTGAGGGGGGACATCACCAATTTTTCAAAATTTCTACATAATGAAATGGCTAAGATGTTAACAAAGTCTTTCAGAATGGTTTGATGTGAAATGGTTAATTGTAAAGAAACTTTCAGAGTCAGAATTGTTCACAGTGGTGGTGATAGGAACCAGATGTCTGAAGCATGTAATGCCTCTAAAAGCTCCCTCATGCAAAGGTACTACATGAACTGTTTATGAATATGTCTCAGATTTTGTTTACAATAGTTTCATGATAGTCTCTTTACAGTAAACCAACCATTTCACATCAAACCACTCAGAATGACTGTTTACATCTCAACATCACACTAAATTATGGATAAATTTTGAAAAATTGGTGGAATTTCCCTTTAACTAGATGTGCTTGCCAACAGTGGTGATGATAAGCAACACTGATGGACACTGATAATCACTGAAAGCACTTGTAGGTGGTAGTTGTCCTGTCACACATACTTTATACTCTTTTTATCACAAGCATTTAGGTGGGATGGTGGGTCTTGTCGAAAAAATTCTACCCCCTGCTACCATCACCACATGCCTTGACTGGAGCTCTTTAACAGTGTCTTGTGGTCACTAAATTTGGTGAAACATATTATACTATTATTATTATTATTATTTACCCATAGGTAATACTTTTGGCATGTTTTTACATCCCTGTGCACAACAGGCCCATGGAAAAGCAGTGCATGTAGTCAGAGACATCATTCATGTGCCTTTACTGTAGCAGACTGAGCTAGTTATACTTTTCTAATGTTCAAGAATGACAGGAATGTTCAAAAACAAAGTAAACTGAGCAGAGTACTTGTGAAAATATATGACATTGCCAGTTTGTTACTGTAAGCTTTAGCCCTCCCCTAAAAAGACAGTGCTGTAGTCTTGTTTATGAGTGATAGGTAGCTAGCTAGTTTGGTAGGTCTATTAGATTTCTTCAATATAAAAGCTAATGTTAATGAATTTAATGAAAAAACCCAATTACAACACTGTCATTATGCTGCATTATAATTGTGAATAGCTTTGAGGAGAGAGAGATTCATAGTGCAACACGTTGGTTTAAAACATAATTATTGTAATTTGAATTATAGTATTAATGTATAATTACAGTACAGTATTTATTATAGCATCTTTAATGTCAATATTTTGCATAAAACTGTCAGGGCCAGATTAAGATCCTGTGGGGCATTAGAGTTATACGGCAAATCCCCAAGAACCCACAGATAATAACATTTAGACTGTTTACTTCTGGAAATACTGCAATAAGAAGTTTTGACATGGAAACAGTTGTTGTTAGTAGTTTCAGTAACAAAATCCATCTGCATGATATCTATAAATACTTGAATTTTGATTAATGTACAAAAAACACAATTCATGCAATTCAAATCATATCAGGGTCAACACTGCTTTCAAGTTTATAATCAGTTCCTATGAAACTATGTCTTTTTCTGTGTCCATATGAAGGTGTAGTTCAGTGAAGAGCAGCTGAAGATGAGAACTTCATCTAAAGCCTTAAACGTCCATTATTTTTTCTGTTTCAAGATTGTTTTCTTTGTATAAATCCATACGTTCACCTAAATACACAATAAACTGAATTAAGGCATTTGGTGTTGTATAATAAATCACTCAACATGACGTTATAGTTGTCATACCCTGATATATTGTAGGACAGTGCATATTTTACACTGGTAACTTCAGAATGTATTTATTATGTTTGCAGTTCCTTTTAAAAAAAATTGGTGTTGTGGCTTGTTTAATACAAAGATGTGTATACCTGTGCTTTAAAGCAATACTCCAGAATTTTTCAACTCAACTTCTATTTGCCACATCTGTAATGTACAGATTACCACAGACAACAATTTCAACGCGTTTCCCTGAACATAGAAATGAATGGAAAAAACATTGACTCGAAGCTCACTAACACTTTGAAGCCATTGGGCGACTGCTAAAATGAGTGAATACACATGATTATAGGACAAATATGAAACTAGCACCGTATTTGATCAATATGGGTTATTTTGACAAAAATGACAAATACTGGGATCCAACCTGAAAAAATGAAAATGATTTAAATGCATTTTTTTCTTTTTATTCTTTGTTTTATTTTATTCTTTGTTTTTGTACATTCAAAGAAGGATGGCTGGATAATGAAACATTTTAAATGGATTTTTAAGTAATACACCAATCAGGCATAACATTATGACCACCTCCTTGTTTCTACGCTCATTGTCCATTTAATCAGCTCCACTTACTATATAGGTGCACTTTGTAGTTCTACAATTACAGACTGTAGTCCATCTGTTTCTCTGCATACTTTGTTAGCCCCCTCTTACCCTGTTCTTCAGTGGTCAGGACACCCATGGACCCTCACAGAGCAGGTACTGTTTGGGTGGAGGATCATTCTCAGCACTGCAGTAACACTGAAGTGGTGGTGGTGTGTTGGTGTGTGGTGCGCTGGTCTGAGTGGACACAGTGAGTGGACACTGTGTTCACTCATTGTCCACTCTATTAGACACTCCTACCTTGTTGGTCCACCTTGTAGATGTAAAGTCAGAGACGACAGCTCATCTGTTGCTACACAGTTTGTGTTGGTCATCTTCTAGTCCTTCATCAGTGGTCACAGGACGCTGCTGGCTGGATATTTTTGGTTGGTGGACTATTCTCAGTAGCAGTGACACTGAGGTGTCCATGGGGGTCCTGACCACTGAAGAACAGGGTAAAAGGGGGCTAACAAACGAGCGTAGAAACAGCGAGGTGTTTTACTTCATTTGAAAGAACATAAAGATATAGTTCTCCCAAAAATGCTAAAGAAGCTAACATTGCATGAAAGCTAATGTTGCCAGGGAACGTGACACACTGACTGACAACATTCATTGCTGGCCATGTTAGCACTGTTTGATTGCATTATATTATTTAAGGTGTCTGTGATCATGGTTGTGCTCGGGTTGGCACAGCAGCAAATGGAAACGACTTGGTGTCTCCAGAAACTGTTTCAGTAGAACACAGAGAGCGATGGGCCTGGGAATGCATTTCTAAACAGTTTCTATGCTCAGAACATCGAGAGAGAAAGAGAGAGAGCGAGAGGCCTTTGGAATGCCTGTGCAGCAGTTTCTGTTGCCATAGGATGTGGAGCCGGGTATCGTGAGGAATGCCACCACTAACGGTTTCTCAACTCAGCGCACCTGAGGAATGAGAAACAGAGTGAATGAGAAGGAG